GGAATCATTCAAGCCATTTAAATATGTTCTTCCAAGCATTTGTTGTTATTTAGTCTCCGGAACCAGACTTGGAATTAAATGTAATGCAAGATTAGCAATGACAAAAAACATATTGTTCCAACTAATGCACCGAGATCGTGCCAACAGATCGGCTCCCTAATCACCTGAAGCCTGCAGGGAGAGAAGTGATCCTGTGATGTGTGCACAAAATAAATGAATACAAAAAAAAAAACAGTTTCAGCCAAGCAGCCTGCATCCCATGATAAAAGAAAAAACATCTGCTTAAGTGTCGCTTAAAGGTCGTGAAGTTCAACAAGCAGGAGCAGGATGAAGAGTAACGAGGTTCCTCTGCTTGGAGTGGCGGACATTTTCAGAGACTCGGATTGGTAAAAGCTTCAAACCATTGTTAGTAAAAGTAGTTTGTTGCGTTTGTGGTGAAAATCACATGTCAAGTGGCGAGAGGAGAACGCGAGTCGCCATTGACGGACTCTCAAATATCCAGGAGGCATGAAGCCCCGAGCTTGTGGATGACCTTCACTCACCTGAGCCGGTCTGTCTGTCTGAGCCGGTCACAGGGGGGGGGAGCTGGTGCCAGACGGACCAGAAAACCACCGGATAAAGAGGAAACAAGAGAAGACGTGGGGGGAGGTGTGGGGGGGGGTTCAGGTGGCCTGCAGCTGAGGATGCAGCAGCACAGGAGCTGAAGAGCACGGCTTCAAAGCTCGAACGGGAGACGTTTGCATCATAATTTAATGCACACACACACACACACACACACACACACACCAAACCAGTTTTCAGGATTATTACTTCAGCGGCGCAGACAATGAAGGTGACCGCTTCTCATCCATTTTTCATTTTGGAAAAAGCGGGTCTTATCTCAGAGGCTTGTTAGAGCTTAAAATAACCTTCTGGGCTGCTGCCAGATTTTGAGTTCGGCGAACTAAGGAATTTTCCACTGGTTCCCTTCCTAAAGAGATGACATCACGTGCTTCTGCATGTCTCGTATAGTGATGAATCTAATTCTTTTTTTTTTTTTTTGGTATTTAGTTGGCGTATATGTTGCGACAAGAAATCAAGAACCTTGATTAGTATGAATTAAGTGATGATGTGGGCTCCACTTGGTCAATTAGCCAACTGAACAAACGTCCTGGAATCATTTCATCTCATTAGGTCCTGACTGCCTCCACTTTTTAAGACATCCAAACTGAAACAATCGGACTGGCGTTTGAAGAAGAGTGTTACCCGAGGACAAGAGAGAAATGCACGCCTAACACAAAGCTACTGCATTGGGCGCTGTCAGCATTTTCCTGGGCGGGAGCAGCAACATGATCAAAAGATGCTGACCCTGAGGCCACAGAGAGCGATCAGATGGAAATCAATAATCCAAGAATTATGATCTACTAGTGTTGCGTTGACTGAAAAAGGTTGTCTCTCAGCAGAGTGAGTGAAGGGAGAGATGAGACATCTCGGACATGCTGCTGCATTGCAGGAAGGAGGAGGGGGGGGGGGGGGGTAGTTTGAACTGATGTCACCTATATGGGTGAGTGTGAGGCTCTGTGAGGGCTTAAACTTAAAACTCTCTGATTTGTACGCGGTTCAGGTTCTTTCCTCATAAGATGAGGTCATTTTAAATAATGTTCCGACAAAATGTAATTTTTCAAAAATAAATTAGTAAACATCTTCTGATTTTCTTTTTTTATCCATCTTGAAGGTTTGAAGGTACATTTTAATAGGATCCAAACCCACACGTTGACCTTTTTTATGTCGGAAAAGGGTTCACAAAGGGCTCAAGATGTCTGCCTGAGAGCCTCAAACACTCAACGATCTGACAGTGGGACACAACTAAACCCTTAGAGTTCGGGAGCATGCCTCAAAATCTGAGGCGGAGATTAAAGGACAACATAGGACCCATGAGTCACCTCCTTGGAAACAAAGATAATACCATTATTTGAATAACACACCCTTTGTCAGTTTAAAAAGGAGCCATGTGAATAGCATGCCAACATCCATTTATCCATCCTAGCGATGCAAAACAATCGGGTAACCCCATTTAAATTAATCAAGTGTGTTAATCAAGCAACATCTTCACTGACGTACATGGTTCATATGCAGCCTGACTGTCATTTTTATGTACAGCGAACTCATGAAGCACAATCGCTGCGCCGCTTAAGTCGTCTTCTTTTCAGAGGAAAGATGAAGGAAACAGACAGACAGGCAGGCTTGAGGTTTTTTTTAAGTGACAGCCGCATCAGGAATTGTCAATTGTCAAAATTGGTGAGCATTTCCCAGACTTTAGAGGTCATCCTGAGTGAAGCCAACTCTTTGTATCTGTAACCTGAATACTTTCACCAGATGGAAAACACAATCTGTTCAAACTCCCCCAAAAGGGATTTGGCAAGACAGTGAGTTCACAGTACACACACACACACACACACACACACACACACACACACACACACACACACACACAGCACAAAATACACAGAAATAATTTTACTTTGAGCCTTACGATAACACAACTGATTTATGTTTGCATCATTTCTAAGCTCCACTGTACTTTCATCTCTCCCCTCCTCCACTTGGTTTTAGTGACCGTGTGAGCAGCCGGCGAAGGAAGTGGGGAAGAAAACTATTTGTGCCTAGACCAAAAAAAAAACCCCGAAAGGGAGGCGAAACCATTTCGTTTGAAGTGGAACAGGCACGCGCCTGCCGGGACCTTCCTAATCACGTCAAATAAAAATGATAGAAGTGAATTTGCTGCAAACATTAGACTAAACGAAAACTTTTGGGAAGTCTGGAGAAACGCACGCAGACGCTCGCGCACTGTTTGATTCGCTGGAGCCTTTGCAGCCGCTCAGCTGGGTTTACACGGGGCGACCCGGCGCGTGTTTTACCGGGTCCCAAACTGCACCAAACTGTGTCACCACGGAGCCAAACGCACACCATGTTCCCTACAGCCTTTCCAAATAAACACTACATCCACCGCTGTCATCTCTCCAAAGAGCGCGTTTCGTGCCGAGCTCCGCGAGAAGAGCTTCGTGGCATGTTTCCACGTTAGGAAAAAAAAACAAAATCACAGCGCACAGCTTCTGCGAAAAGAGGGGGAGAAATAAACCTCACCAGCTTTACAGGGATCCTTATAGTCGATCGGCTCTGATGTGGCACCGGACTCCACATAGTAGCCCGGGTCAATCGCCTCCAAATCGATCGCGAACACCACGCCGAGGAAGAGCAGGAGACACAAACATCTCGCCGTGAGGTCCATCATTGTGGTGGGGGAGACGGCGAAAGGCGAGGGCTATAGGTAGGAGCCGCGAGGGGGACGGAGGGAGGGAGAAGAAGAGAGAGAGAGAGAAATGGGAGGGGTTACCCGGTGGGCGGGTTTTAAATCCAGCCTCTCTCCGGTGTCTTCTTAGGGGGGGGGGCAAAGTGCAGAGGACTGCCGGAGGAACTTTGATCATCTGGCAGGAGATGAAGATGCCCCATTACGCAGTGAGGCTCCTGTGCATTTGTATTGCTCCATCAGGGGCCCCTGCAGCGCGTGCACGGGACTGTGATCGCCCCCCCCCGGGAGCTTCTTTGTGAAGCTGGATTAGTGACCCGGGACAGTGTCCCGTCCGCTGTCTCCACATAGTCTTGTTTATACTTATAATGGACCAAGGGAATCATATGTTACTTTCTTAAGAGCTTGATGAAAGAAATGCGTTCAATTTCGCATCACATTAGTTCTAATAATTCATCCGAGTTTAAATTAGTTAGCGTAGATGAAGCTGTGCCCAGATGACAAATGTTAGTTTTATTTGTGACGCTTTTATTTTTTATATTTATTTCACCCAGGTTCCCTTTGGGTTTTTTCCCCTTTAACACAAACGAGCGATTTATAACGCACACGTGCGCCCTCCACTTCAGACGCCCACTCGTGTCATCACGCACACGCACGCAAAACAGACTGAGCTTCACCTTTGCAGAAAAGACTTTGCTCACACATATAAATTTAAGCATCCCCGAGTGAATTGTCACGATTGGAGCACCTCCTGTTGGCAATCGATGGTAGATTACACGTAGACTAGATGTAACTACAGGCGCAGCCCTGCAGGGCGGGTTCATGGCATCATCGCAGTCTGTTTGGCATATTCATACTTTCATTAATGTACCCATTGGAATGTAAAGACATAATTCAATATGCGTAAACTTTAATAAATCAAACAGGTTTTCTGTTGTTTTCTCATATCGCCAATATGGTCTGATTGCTGTTGCCCTTGTTCAACCTTCCATATAAACATCTGTGAGTAAACAGATGCACATGCAGTGTTAAGTAGATCCACTTTAAATGATGTAATTTTTAGCATTGGCTAGATATGCGCAGTTCTAACTAATGCACAAGGGCCATCCTACATAAAGCGCTGTTTCTGACTTGCACCAGTTTATTACTGGCATGTTTGATCCATCTAATTTTACCTGCACTGCATATCGAACGTATTCAGAAATGAGAGCATTAGATGGATTTTAATCTATCGCACTTTGACCAATTTCTTCCCCCTAAATTGTGATTGTAAAGGCTGTTCAAACGCATACATGTAGAAAATAACCAAAGTGTAGCCTGGATATGGAGACTTCAGATTGAATATCTGCTGCTGCAGGCGACGGGGTCTATGTGCCAGCAGCTCTGTTGATCTCTGTCTGACTGGCATCTGTTATCATGTCCCTGCCTATTACAAACAAAGCCCGGCTTACATAAGAGGGAGGAGACCCACTCTTCTCTTTATCTTATCGGACTGCTGCTTATGTGTGGAACTTAAGACAGGATGAGATGAGTGGGCTGTATTTATGTTGTTGCTGTAAACACAGCAGTGTAACTATTGTGCACGGCAGCATGCACCGTCATTATAGTTGGAGAAAGACGTTTCTTAGTTTGCTCAACACAGTGTTGAGCAAACAGGACCAAATATTTAGATTTGCAAACGGGGAACAAAGTTGAGTCAATTCAGGGAAATCTCTTTTTTTCACATGGCTGTTTTAAAGAAAAAGTCCATACACAGTGCGGATGCGACAGAACGTCCTATACAGTAGTTTAGTAGAAACAAATGTAACACATACGCTTGCATACGCATACGCGTTATGCAGCTTTTTCAGTGGATATTATTCAAAGTGAGCTTTGTGTAGACGCAGTCAGCTCAAGGCACAAAAACACTAACTTCTGCAATTACATGATCATGGCCAAAACAGACTTTTAATTCATTTTAAGTTTAGTTCTTACTCCAACATATTTCAGGCCTACCATATTGGGAAGCTGTTTGCGACTGGGAAAGAAAAACACTGCACAAAAAGCAATTATGTGTGGAAGAGACCACAGTCTGTAGCACGAAGACCAACCATTGCAGTCTCTGCAAAGCGTTACCCATCTGTGCAAAGCGGCTAAGCATCGCAGCGCCACATCCACATCCACAGCGACTGCCTGGCTGTTTTCAATCATCTCCATCAGGGAGCTCGCTGGAGGATCTGAGGCAGGCGTTGCTGTTGGGGTCTTTGCAAAGCGGCAGCTCCCAGATGCCTCCTGACCAGCAGCAGCTTAGACCAGTTGCATCACCACAAGGACACCTTTAAGTGCTGGAAAAGGGCACAGGGGTATTAATACATCCACACTCCAGAAAACATCAGACCAAAACATCAGACGAAGAAATCAAGCCTGCTTGTAGTAGAAAGGACAGCTTTGAATACTTTAGTATCTTCACAAATTATTTGAATAATTTTGGATGTGAATTCCACTTTCATAGCCATATTTAAAGTAAAGTAAAAGCGGTTGTGCCCCCCCCCCCCTCCCTCGTCACACACAGACACACCAGGTAGCGTAATTTCAAACATATCTGTGTGCCTTTAAATTAAAACCCCCTGTACATACTATACCTCCACACATATTAATAATGATTTCATGCCACTGCAGTTGCCATGGCAGTGAAAATATTGATAAACTGCCTTAGGTTGTATGGATAACAAAAAAGGGAAATATTGCATGAGCTAATGTGCTGTAATATTGACGTATTAGTCATAAAAGCGTCAAGTAAGACAAGGTGACATCATAGGACATTAAATGAGACGCACCTCGGACTCAAGGCTCTGCGGCGGCGTCACAACCTCATCAGCTTGCCTGAGAGATCCCGCTCTACTCAACTGTGCTTCCCGCAGGGTCACCGTTATGGAAGTGGGGGCTTTCTGCTCTAGACACACAAACACAAGCTGCTCAGCACTAACACGCCCCAAAATAAAATACAGAGTGAAAAGTGAGTTTTTAAATGTGTTGCGAGGGAAATCAGAGCCACCTTTTTGCTTTGCGTTCAGAAAACAAAAACAAATCTCAGGTTTTAGTACAATGAACGTAATGAGAGGTAAAAACAAAAGAAGGGAGAAACTATCTGGGCGATTTAGTTAAGAGAGAACAGGGAAGCACAACTGATTCACACTAAAATAAAAAGAAAACGGGCGATGAAAACACAAGTTTGATTCCAGTCTTTATTGTAACAACAGAAAAGGAGCTTGGGTAATGAGCCATGAGCCAATATTATTGCTTATCAACACACTTTGTAAGAGGTTAGCATTTAAACACATGGATATCGTAAGCAGGGGGTTTGATGGAAGGGTTTACAAAATGTTACTACATGAGGAAAACACAAACATGAAGTGCCAAACAAAATCTGACATACAAAGCAGTCGGGATTGAACCTCACACACACTGCTTTTAACTTAATTCACAATTTATCTGTATCAAATAGTTTTCGTACATTTATATTTTACATTTGCATCAACTTCTACTTTAATGCTTATGTGTCAAACACAAGCATTGTGTGTGTGTGTGTGTCATTGTCTGAACATGAATACACAACATGTCGTCGGGCGCTGATCGGTCCTCCGGTGCTGCACATCTGCCCACCTGATAACAGCCAGGGAAACCATCTACACACACACGCACACACACACACAAACACATCCGCACGCACACACACGTCGACAGAGCTGTCCTCTACAGCGGCAGTCCTCCCCGGCCCTCAGGCGTCCTGAACTAGTGCTTCCAAAGCTGCGGATGAATGAACTCTGAGCGTTCAACGTGGCCGCCGTGTTTTGCCCGTTTTGGCCGACATACCAGCGGGCTGATTGGGGACGTGCGCCAAGCCGGGCAAGCTGCTGGCAAGCTTGGCCAGCCCGCCGTTAGTGAGCAGCTGGTGGATGGCGGTGGTTTTAGCCCCTCCTCCTGTGCTGACCACGGGTAACGCCCGGGGGAGCAGAGTGCTGCTGCTGGTACAGACGGAGCTCAGGACCTGGTCGTGGGGCTTTCCACTGAGCGCCTGGAGCTGGAGGAGCAGAAGAAGAAAAGATGGGTTTACGGTCTTGTTTAGCACGACAACATCAACGGATGGGACTTCATCTTTCATCTGCATCAGGAAACTCTTCCTGTCTGCACATGTTCTTGTTGTGGGTACAATTTACATTCGGTACATTCACACATACATTTTTTTAGGTGCATTAAGATAAAACCATCTTCTATTTAGGAAACAAATATTTATATAAATGGCAAGGAAGAAATATTTGAATTCTTTGAGTTAGGAATCACATCCCTTCTATACCCTTTTAGATCCAATCCCCGGTCATAGTAAGTATATCCAGAAATCCGTCTATCAATTCATTTGCAGCTTCAGGTTCCACAGAGGTGTATGTGTGTGTGTGTGTGTGTGTGTGTGTGTGTAGAGCAACAGTCCCCTGTAGCTCTGATCACAGTACATTTGCATTGGATTTAAAACTGTACTGTATCATTTCAGTGTGAAATACCAGTAACAGAAAGTCCAGTAGAGAAGACGCTCTAACTCCCGTTTCACTTGTACAAGGTAAACCCTCGTGGATCAGTTGTTATTGGCAGGAGAACAAACATAATGCCTTGCTCAATCATTTCCTATTGAGAAGGACACCCTGCGGTTTTTTGTGTACCTTAACTGAAAAAATGGTTCTGACGTCAGTTCGGTTTACATAGTTCCTTAAAACTGGACTTAGAAAAAAAACATCCATTGTGCTCATTCAAACCTAAGCAATGTAACCATGAGGTACCTGTGTGCTGCCAGTATTGGCTGCTGTGGGGGGCAAGCTAGGAGCTTTGGTGATGACCTCCTGCAGACTGAAACTTAGGCCGTGTAGTAGACTGCTGGCGGACGGGGCTAAACACAGACAGAAGGAGAACAGATTACGGGAACTGAAGTATCAACTCCTTGTACAAACTGCTCCCACCCGATCCAGAGAGACCTAATCCAGATGGACACACGCACACACGCACGTCATACAAAAGTCATGTTCAAAGGGGAAGGTTGGGGAACGCGACAGACAGCGATGGCGCAAGAGGTTATCAGTGATGATGTTTGTTCATAAGTTGCACACAAGGTTCTCATCGTGTTCCAAAACTGGAACCTCACTCTACAAACGTGGTTAGAACGTGTGTTGAGGTTACTGTGCTGATATTAGCTGCACAGTTGAGAGTGCAAACAGGCGTGCAGGGCAGGACAGGACAAAGATACCTTGGGCAGTAGCCGGAGCTTGCGCCTGGACCGGTGCGGAGGACCCTGACACCGTGCAAGGCTGCGCGCTGCTGAATGAGCTGGAGCCTGGGGACAGGGCCCCAGAAACCTCTGAGAGACTACCAGACCTGCAGTGACACACATAACCACCATTCCACTCAGGAGCTACCCCAGCAAGTGATGATCGGTCGTCACTCAAGACTACACCATTTGTCGACCCCTTTGCACCAGACTAAGAATTCAGCCCAGGAGCCCGAGCGCGTGGGTCGTGTTGCGTGATTGACGGGTCTGTGGGTGTTCGATACGGAATGTGCGTACCGGGGCCAGCTGGCTTACCGCTGGCCTTTCAGAAGTCCACAGAGCTCCTTTGCGTCAGCCACGGTCTGTCCCACGGTGACTCTTAAGGGCTTCCCAGAGACACCCACTGCGTGGAAAAGGGGTCACGTCATGATGTTGGAGAGATTTCACAAAACAAACCGAAACGGTTCACTCTGATTATACCAACAAAAGTTATGTTCGAAATAAAAATGAATCAAGGAGTCTGCCAAACTACTGCTTATAGAGTGCAATCTGTAAAAAGAGCACCAGGTTTCGTACCTTCCTGTGCGGCAGGGCTGGCGGTGCCCCCTGCCGACTCGCCTTGGGAAAGAATGGTGACCTTGATCTTCGCTCTCTTGGCAGCTTTGCTTGTTTGGGCACCGGGCGCCTGCCTCCTCCTGCCATGGGACCTCAGTTCATCTCTGTCCAGGCCCTCCATCTGATCGCTGGTCACCGGCACTGCACCACACAAACATTTTAGCATTATTTTGACTACGGAAATGTAGAAAATCGAAAGCACTGGATGTTTTAGTGAGGAGCCAGTGCAGTATTTCAGTGTGACATTCGTAGACAATTAGAGCAGTGGAAACCAGGAAAGGAGTGAAGAGAGAGAGAGGAAAAAGGGGATAGACACTTACCAAAAATACAAGGAGGGGTGCCAGGAGGAAGGTTTTTCCTCACAAGCATGTTCTGTTTCATAAAAGCAGCAAACTGAGCTGGAATGAATGAAGGGGAAAAAAAAGTCGGAAAAGAAAGTTGTAGGAAGTGAAGAGACGGGAGGACAGCGTTAAGTCACTTTCTAATCAGGTGTTGTGACTTTGACAATCCCTCAGTCTTTTTATTTGCGATCATTTGAATATAGATGCAGAAAATAGAGCCAGTTGAGGTGAAATACTCATCGCAGAAAGTTCACACAAACGAGCTTCGCGAGGTTGAGAGCTGAACGATGCGCGTGGCGGGGAGCTAACCTTGGGCCTGCTTGGGAGTGAGCACTGTGCCGGAGCGCTGCATGTGCGTCTTGAGGAGCTGCGTAGCCGTGATCAGACTGGACTTCTGCGCTGGAGAGAGACCAGACGTCTTAGGTTTGGGACTTGAAGTGGGACTGCTACAGACGCTAGACAGATCCTGAGGACACGGTGAAGAGGAGGGAGATCTGATGAGTCATTGCTGATTAGCGTCAGTCATTGAACAGGGATACCTATTTTGGGGCTTTTATCAACATCACAAACTTAACTTGAATTGAAAATGCAGCCGGCTCCAACGACCTACGAATATTAGATTTGCGCCCAAACGGAGTGCATCATTTTCATCAAACAAGAATATACCATATTCCCTAAAATCTGTAACTCAAATCAGCAGAGGAAGGGAAAAGTCATCAAAAATAAATGCACATCCACTTGCCGTTGTTAACATTTGAAAATGTTGGTCGTTGTGGCACCTGCTAACTGACCTCTGAACCCGAAGGTGAGATGGGAACCCTCAGTGCGGGGGAGGAGGGTCGTCCTCTCTCCATGTCGAAGGGAAGCTCCCGCCGAGGCCTTTTCTTCTTCTCTGTGTCCAGGTCCCTCATCTCCCCGGAGCCGTGGCCGTGGCTCTCCGCCCGCGTGAGGACGCCCGACAGGAAGTCGGCTATCTCATCCTGCAGATCCGTCATGTACGAAGAAGGAGGCTTTTTATGGTCAACATAATTAGCACTTTTTCGCTGTTGTTGTTGTTGTAGGAGAAGAAAGCTCTCCAGACTAACAGCATAAAATGAACATTTCTAGTTACAAGGACCGACCTGAACGCAGCGGTCGACCATAGTCTGCGTTAGTCCCTCTGATTTCATCTTTGTCGAATTGATTCTGTGAAAGAAGAAGAAGAAGAAAACTTAGTGATACTACCAGTACGAAAATCTGTGTCGTCAGCTAGAAAGAATATTATATGACATCATTTCCTCCTTGTTAAACCAACAGTCCAAGGCCGTGGCTGACCTGAGGTTGTCGTCTGATCCTCCCACCACCACCATGCTGTTGTCGGCCCTCAGCTTCTCTCTGAACTCCTCCATGCCCTCGATGCTACACTGCAGAGCGTTCTGGCCAACCACAAACAACACTGGGGTCTTCATGTCCATCAGCGGGTCATCCACATCCTGCAAACCAGTGGCACACTAACATTTGTTACAACTACTGGCTTGAAGCTTGAACGGTCAGTTTTTCTTAGTAAAAGCTAACGAATGAAAATGAGTAGAAGATACTGTTGAAGGCCTCACCCCTCGTGGCCCATTGACTGTTAGCAGGGGGAAGCCGAGACACACTACAGCGGTCAGATACTCCATGAGAGATACCTGTAATGAATCAGGATTTAATGAGCTAAAGACGCTTTAAAAGAAAGAAGGGAGAAAAAACATTTTTTTTAAATGGGTTAAAGATCATTAAATTAAACAGCAATGATGCGTTATAAGAAGTCTTACGTGACAGGCGATGAGAGCACCGGCGTTCCAGCCAACCAGGATAATGGGTTTGTGAGGGAAGTGACTGTGAACCTGGCGGGTTAATTAATGGCGTTAATCAGCTGCAGAGACATGAAGAAAGCCAAGATAAAACCTATAGATGGAAATACTGTTCTTCCATTTTGCTGTCACAGACATATTCACTGAATCAGTGAAGCTCATTGATTCATGTCCACACGCTGAGCATTGCTAATAAATGATAAACAAAAAATGTAAGAAAACGTACTGGGCGTTGAGAGTAAGAAACTCCAAAAAGCCAATTATTTATTGTGTGTTTCGTGAAATGAATGAATTACACAAACATTATCATCACGCTGCACCTTAAAGTTGAAAACAACGTCCTACCTCCATGACCTTGGCCCTGACAGTCCCCAGCATGTGCTCCAAGCACTGTGTGATGCCAATATTGGCACCGCTGTTCACGTGACTGTGCACTGGAATGACCTGACATGGAAACAGCCATTATAGGCACTTCTCTGAGATTGTTAAAACCCAAATTTTAAATAATACAAAGCATTAACTGAATAAGACCTTTCCCAGACAAGAGAGTTGCGACTGCCAGAATCTCATTCGCCGTGAAGTAGAGAGGGCGGGATTGGTCGGGCATGATGGTGCAATTAGGATGAGTGGCGATCCAGGAAGCTTGCTCTGAAACATATAAAAGGACAACAGAAGAAATCAGAATCAGCTCTTCAATGGTTAGAGAGCAGGAAAAAAAACAACGGTGTACGTCAATGGCAATTCTTACCGGTTTGTTTTGAGACAGGACTCCGACAGCAGGGTCCCAGGGCCGCTTCAATAGCAGCGACAGGGCCTCTGCGCTCGGAGTGCCCGTCTTTGCGGTTGTCAGCAACATCCTGTCAATCAGCAACGGCAACTTCCAAGACACCAACAGGGAAAGTAATGAATCAAGTATTCTAGATTTGACAAATGCAGACGGGGACTCCAGAGCAATTCTTACTGTTGAATTAAGACACATCGTACCTTGCTTTTGAGAGTCTGCAGCACATCCAAGTAAGCGGCGAGCATAGCGAGGCTTAAGGACTCAATCATGGTGGTGTGTAACCACTGAGTCAGTTTGGTGTCCCAGTTCACACTGGCTAACGCATGCCGTACTTTCCTGGCACACTTGTCGACAGCTATTCTCCGCAAGATTGGCTCATTGGAAGCCTAAAAGAAAGAAAGAAAACAATAACGTGAGATCGATGTTCCTATATCATCATAGGGGGGTTCGACTGAAACGGTTTAGGAACCACTGCTCGAAGGTAAAGCTGTTTCTTTTCAAATGATGATGTATGCTGGAGTCCATATGCCCATAGCATGAACCAATAGTTAAAAATCACAATGTGGATTTGATCTTACTTGAGGGTCTGTTACAAGAACAAACCCTGTGTACTCTGGACACTAAAACCCAGTGGTTTAACGATCCAAAACATACTGCACTGGTTTATAAGTTAAAGACTTCAAGATATAGATGCATTGATTTGTGGGGTTCATGGCGTATAAAAAATATCCACATTGTCTATAATGACAGTCCAATAAAAAGTTTCTTTCTCGTCAAAAATTTGGAAAGAAAACACACTGTTGTATTTGCAACAGTGTGTTTTCTTTCCAACTGTAGATTTCAGAGAACATTAACTGTTTCAATCCAGCGACCACAAACAGCTGCAGAATTTAGAAACCGTTTTCAGAACTTACATTTTCATTGGCCAGCCGGGCTAGTCTTTCAGCTTGTAGAGCTTTAAGGACTTTATTGAACAGTTTGTTCTGGGCGACAGACCATCCAGTCCTGAAACCAAATAATAATAAAGTCAAAAATTGTTTACCGTAACGTATGTACGTTCAACATTGTCTTGATAAAAAGTGTCAAGTGGGTATTAAATGAAGATTTTGATTACTTGTTAACATGTTCCTCCCAGTCATCGGGGGGCGGAGGGCTCTCAGCAATTGTTCGAGCAAACAGAACGTGACGCTCACACTCCTTCATCACACCAAGAGCTTTCTGATTATCATAAAGAGGAACGGGTGTCGGTGTGACGGTCTCCACATCCAACACAGCATCCGATTCTCTGCAGACGAAGAAAAGAAAATATTAAATTACGGCAAGGCGGTAAACAGCTACTTGTTTAAACTCATCTCTGTGGGGAGGATTAGTGAATTGGAAAACCATGCACAGGGGGGTTTTATTAGGGGGGCTTACAACGAGGCTTCAGGCTGGCGGCGAGCGGTAACAAACAGGGTCCTGGTGGGCCGGGCGCTGCTGGCATCTGGGTGGGCGTTCCATGGTTTGGCATAGCTGTGGTCCAGGAACACCAGATCCAGCTCTCTTTCATGAGCCGACAGCTGGAAGAGCAAGGATGTGCCCATCTTTCGTGCCGTTATCTGGAAGTCCTTATCCCCACCGCGATGCATCGTCCTCCTGGGGCCCAGCGGGGCCCTGAGAAGAGCTCAACAACTCGGGTGTTTTCACACCAAACTGAAAAAGAGGAGCCACAATGAATCATTTGAAATAGGATGAAAAGTGTTTACCGACCTTCCCACAAGGTACCGAATAGGTGAAAGGGGGGCAATAGTCATGCTGAACATGATCTAGTGCTGAAAGGTTTTGGGGCAGCGATCTATGAATGATTAGTTATTCCTGTAGCTCAACGTGTTTGAGGAAAAAACACAAAACTCAGTGCGGGCTTCTTGATACTGGTTCCATGGGTTACCGCTATCGTATTTTTCATATATTTGGCTTGTGCCATGAAACAAGACAGTTGATGATGATGCCTTGGACTAATCCATCATGCATCAGTTAACGTTAAAGAAATTACAATAAGTAAGATGATCTCATCTGAAGCCTTTAACCAACACGCTTTCGCTTTGTCCAGTGACCACCACACATCACTACAATAACAATACGGATCTTATTCAGCACCCGTTTTGGGCTGATTATAAACCATTCGCGTTGCTTGTTGAAATGTACCTTTATGTGGCTGTAGATCAATATATTCAATATTTCTCGTGTTGTTTTAGTAAAGTATCGACTGCGACGGGCTGGCCTGACATGCTAGCGATAGCATAGCAAGCTAAAGGCTAGCTTAATGGCGCTATCGCTGTGTTCTTCTGCTCACCTTTTCGCTCCATTATTCCATGTTTGTTGAGACGCTTTGAATTCTTCCTTTGAACAAAGCATCATCAAATAAAAACGTGATTGTTTTTCTAATTCTAGAGTTTATTTTAAGCCTCATATATTCAGTGCGCGAAAACCTTAGCGTTACTTCCTTTTGTTGTGGGATTAGTTGCCATGACACTGTCCACAATCCCCCCTTTTCAGTGAGAAAAAGAAGTGGGGAAGGAAAGGCCGCATTTCAGGAAAACTGGCAACCCCATTTGTGGCGCATTAGTGAGGGACACAAAACACGGACAGGATTTCAGAATAGGGGTCGGGATTATTTGCTATCTTTACAAAAACGCTGAATGTTAATTACTTAATTAACCACATGAACCTTAAACCTTTGGATTTTGTTTTTATTTTAATTGACGATTTATCTATATTCATCTATATTTATTCATTTATATTTATGTTATTTACAAGATATAAACTTCTACTTCACGGAAGTAGCGATAATTGAGATACTTTAAATCAAGCCCGGTTATTATTTAGAAAATAAAACGTTCACTTCAGGACACTGACCTCAAATCTGTATACCAGAGTTAGGCTGCCAGAATGTCCAAATAGCCCGAAACGATTTAGACAAATTCATGTATGAATAGACACTGAGTTTAATTTCTACAGCTCTAAATTACACATCACAGTGGTCTCAAAGGACTTTACAATCTATGCAAAATACCTCTGTCCTCTGTCTTCAGTCCAACGACCCTCGCACCAAATAAGGACAAACAGAACAACAGAACAGAAAAACAAGGCAATATCTTCAGGGGAGCGTTACTGAGGGTGAGCCAAAGAGCATTCATGTATGTATGTCAATCCTTATGACTGAAATGAAACATAGTGAGAGTAGTTCTAGCACTAAAAAGTCCTGTTATTTACTAAATTATTAAAATCCAAATCTTAAAATGAACCTCTGCTATTTAAAAATGTAGTATTTCTATTTATTTAGTTGTAGTTGTAGTGACCTCCTCCAGTAAAGAGCCCCTACCTTCTCTTCCTGTTGTTTAATTCCAAAGGTCCCTACGGAGAAACTATTTAAAAGGCAGAGCCCTTCATTAGAACTCCAGCTGCCTACATCTTAATATCTGAACACACTCGAGCCAGACGAGTTTGACGGACGTTATGGTGAGTTTAAAATGGTTAAAATGTGAAGTTGTTTTTTTGGTATTGCTATTTTTGCATTTGAGGGAGTACAGGAATGTAAATCATGAAGTTGAAGAAAGTTGTTATATGTGAGGTTTGCTAGCGAAGAAAGGGACGAAGAATATTATGTATGATATTTATTATGCATGTACCTCCATTTTAATCTCCACAAAAGAAAACCACTTTTGGGTTTTGAAGCACGATAGCCATTCCTGAAGTAAAAAGCGAAATTATCGTTTATCAAACTACACCGTTTAATACGCATCTGAAAGCTTGAAAATTCAGAACAGGGATATTTACTGTTTAAGAACAAAATCAATTAGATCTCCTAAGCTCGTGTTAAGCACAGACCGTATTCCAGGGCTCAAACCAAAAAATCCATTGCCTTGTAGGTGAGAGAAGCTGAAGTTCCAGTTTTAGGTCTCATTCCTGCACCACACGTCTGACCAGAATCAGTATGCTAAAACTGTGATTTGTTTCCATTTTTTTCTTCTAGAAATCTTTGGCTCTGGCTTTGCTGCTGTGTGCTCTGGCATCACCGTCAGAAGCTCACTGCTTTATCAACAACGTTAAAGAAGGTAGAAGGACAGAAAAACACCCACATCCATTGTATTTATGGTAAATACACACACATTTACAAAGATATTTGACACTCTTTCCTTGCACCACTAGGCACGACCCACTGCCAGGACTATGCGGATAACACATGGCATGCAGTGGGATCGTCTTGGAGAAACAGTGAATGTATGGACTGTACCTGCGGCCAGTGTTGCTCTGGGTGAGAACACAGATCTCAACATCTAACTTTTCAAATGGGTCAAAAATCAAATCTAGACTGTCAACTTTCTCTTTTTACTGTTTATTGTGTGTTTGTTGTGTATTTGCAGGTACACAACTCCCAGAGTCTTTCCTGACAACTGTGTGTCAGTTTTTGACCCGCAGGCCTGTCAATACGTAGTGCACGTGAAAGGTGATCCAACCACACTGTGTCCAATTTTTGCAGCAGTAGGAAAGTAATGGAGTGACGGAAGTAAAGCATGCAGATGTGAAACGTCACCGACCTCTCACCAGGAAACTGGTTCAACCTGAAACGTAAAACCATCACTGCTACAAATGCAATTACAAATTAATAAATAAATCACACACTTCTTTGTTGTTTCTTGACTAAGAGACTGCAGTGAATGTTGCTTTGCATTAGTGCGCAAATCAGTGACATTTGGGTTTTTATCCAAAACCACATATACAAATGCATTCAATCATGGCAACTCCTAAAATAAGTATATCAACGTAACCGAATATGCAGATCTGCTCAAGTTCAACATTTAGACCCTCCAGGAGGAATAGAAAGAGGGGTCAGATCATTTCCTGCCAACTCTGTGTCTGTTTTTGACCCGGAAGAGTGTTGACATTACAAGGAAAACAATGCCTCGCCATGTCAGATTAAAGTGGACAAGGGAAGTGATACATTTTGAAATATCCTGCTGTTTTTAAAAGCTTGCTTCATAGAATATAAAATGGTTGATTTACACCCCATTTATTATTTACCATTACTTGTTTCTTGAATCACATTAAACAAAATAATATCTTCAAAGAAATGATCATTTTCTGAATATGACAAATCAATGCAAAGCAGCATGCTTTAGGTGCTTTGGTCCACAAATCATTATATTGCCAATAAATAGACAATCACGCATTCTTTATGTGTGTTTTCTTGATAATCTCAACACTTTAAATCCTCTGCGTCCAGAAATAGTTCTTCTCCTTTTCCACTGATTATATGACATCCTATCATTTCCTCCTTGTTAAACCAACAGTCCAAGGCCGTGGCTGACCTGAGATTCTCGTCTGATCCTCCCACCACCACCATGCTGACATAAATGTCAGTGCTTAGGGGAGATCAGAACTTCAGAAGTTTTAATATAATTCTAATTAAATTCAAAGCAACAACACTTCAAGCTAAACGCCTAATAAATTCACATTACGGTAAGTCAACACCGATTTAGGATTTAAAAAAAAAATATATTAAGAAGTTTATATATACAGTACTGAAAAGCCACCACCGGGCGGCAGCCTAAACAAACAAATTTGGGCGGTTTCGATGTATTTTCTCCATCCTCTTCTTTTGCCACACACCCAGAAAAAGAGAGAACAAAAAGAGGGGGGGGGGGGGGGGGGGGTTGATAGAGAGAGAGAGAGAGAGAGAGAGAGAGAGAGAGAGAGAGAGAGAGAGACTTGACAATACAAAGAGGGTTTTGCAGAGACTCTCAAAGTCAGACAAACAGGGTCTGAGGAGCTCTCTGCGTGGCCCTGACATTAACTAAAAGTGGAAGGTTGTGTGTCACTTCTCTTCAGCTGGTGATGAGTGGGTCCCAACAAGAGTGAACTTGTTTTTTTTTACATGGTAACAATCATGTGGAGGATTGAATTTACAATCTGCTCACAGGATTAACTTTGCAACTTTTTCTTTATGGACGTTTTATAATTTCTTTCAGCTTGAATTATGCCTTTGTGCTGGAGTAGAAGCTACTGGTTTCCAGTGGCGTTTGCTGCTGCACTGGTTGCTCTCACTGTTGCTAATGCTGGACCCAAACAGGACAGGAGGCAGGCCGGATCTTCATCATGCTTTGGTGGCTTTGATCTCTACTTTGTTTTGGATAAGTGAGTTATCTGACACACAAAACCCGGGTCACAATCGAAGGGATGGATGAATAGGAGGGTTTCTGTTAATAAGGGAAAGCCATTCATGTTATACACAATGGTGAACTTTAGTTAATAAATGGGTTGAATAAGAGATTTAAAAAATATATATTACACATATTTTTTTAAGTATGTTTATCACCATTAAGTGAGCTTGACTTGAATTCTCAAGACACCTGATGAACGCATACCAAAGCATTTACTACATTATTATTATTATTTTGTAGCGGTGCTGGTCTGCCAAAATGTTTTCAATATGTGCCCAGCATTTCAGTCAATGCTGTGTTAAAGCCCTCATGGGGTCCTGTCATGCACACATGGGTTGATGACACGTTGCTCTGACAGCCCTCAATCTGCAGACAGGCTCAGCTTGTTTCCTCAGATGATAATAATTAGTGGTGTGTTAGACAGATGTTTCACCAATTCATCAGTAACCCGCAGGCTGCACAGACTGCAAGCACAGGCCATGTGCTTTGTTGATCATCCTAATTAATATAACATAAACCAATCTGGCAGTTTTAAATCCCGATTGGCTAAGTAAGTTTGACTGCCTCAACTTCTTGGAATTCTAACAAGAAATTCTGGTCTGTGTGTCTTAAGTAGTTTGCAGGGCGTTTGCTTTCCCTGCAAAGTAGGTCAGGATTTAGAAACAGTTTACATGTTTATCTCCGCTATTTTTGAGGAACTTTGGGTTTCAGCCATTTACCACAATTACCTCATGAAATCTACTGCACTGAGCATTTCCTTCTTCATATCGATAACATTTTGATGAGATCACAAAAAAACCCCTTCAACTATTACACTTTTAGTTAAACAAGAACTATCGAGCAATCGAATAAACAAAGCCAGTCAAGTGAAAACAGTAAATGTTTTCAGAAGGGTCAATGTTGTGAATGAGCATGTTTTGTCTCACTGGGACTGTGAAGACAAAGTGAAAGTGCTTAATTCAGTGTATAAATATGCACACAGCTCCACTAGCACTAACTTACCCGAGCGGTTGCTTTTGAACTGTGACAGAGTACGTTGGACCTTTTGAAAACCTGCCTTCTTAATACTTGTATTAATTAGATATATTCAAGTTTTTTTTTAATCACAAGCCAGTGTTAGTGTCACTTTCAGGTACACTGCTGCTTCTCTGAGGGAGGAAATGGTTTTATTGCCAGGCATCAACTCACTGCTTTAGCATTTCTGTTTTCTTTCTTTCCTCCATTTAGGATCTTGCTCTGCTGATGTGCTCCACCCGCACTCACTATCCTCTCGCTATCTATCCAATCCCGCTTCCCTTCTCTCCCCTTTGTCTCGGCACTGTGCTTCCCCCATTACATACAGATGTTCAAATATTTCGGCCAGCTGGCAGGGCTGTTTCTGAGCAGACTCAATTCATGGTAACAATGGAAAAATAAGTGTCATGGTGAATGTGCGAGGTTGTAAAAACATTTTAAATGAATATGATGACGTCCGCAGATAATTCAATCAGATGATAACAATACAGAGAAGCTCTGAGGATTTTGTGACTGTTGCTATATGACCCAATAAAAACATCAAATCTTAATAGCACCTGTCCAGTTTGAAGCGCTTTAGCAAAGAGGGAATAGAATGCAAGGCGGTGGACATCCGCACCGACGCATAAATATCTGTGCATATGGTTCCATCGGTTCATTTGACATCACTCCAACAGTATTACAGAGAAGAGGTCATGCCTTTTAAATGCCGAGCATTTGTTGGAAAAGTCATCTTCACATACATTTTTCTTTTCTTTTCTCAGATCGGGGAGTGTGGACAATCACTGGACCGAAATCTACAACTTTGTTGAACAACTAGCTCATAAATTCATTAGGTAAAAAAAAAAAAGTGTGGGAAAAACAGAAACGATCACTGATCAAGCAGAGAATACATTTCTGCTCTCCTTCTAGTCCACAGTTGCGGATGTCCTTCATTGTGTTCTCCACTGAGGGAACGATCTTAATGAGCCTGACAGAAGACAGGTGGGTGCAGATCCCCTCAAAACGGCTCGTAATCCTTTATCATGCAGCGGAGTGTCTATCTCGAGCCAATACAAACCTTTGCAGTTTCAATTCACACGTTGCTGGTATTTTCTGCAAATCACCTTATTGAATCTGTCATTCAGTTTACCCGTCTTGAAGCGCCTGGTTTTATTCAAAAGTATATGTTTAACGCTGATTTCCTCGTCGTCTGTTTTCGGGTTAGGGAATGCATTCGGAGAGGTCTTGAGGAGCTGCACAGGGTCCATCCAGGGGGAGACACCTTCATGCATGAGGGCCTCCAGAGGGTGAGTGTCCTCCGCACGTCCAGCAGCCCGCCGGCATCTTCTTTCTCTCTGCTCTGGCTCAGAACAAACATTGTCCAGAGAGCAAGGTTATGTTGGATTATTGAGGAGCTTCCCTATGAACCTATGAATAGATCCTCCACTGTTTCAAACCAGCTTTTTTTTTCATTTTCACAGGCCAGTGAGCAGATATACTATGCAAACACTGACGGTATGTATAATTTTTCTTTACTTAGACTTGATGAATTGCTTTAATAGCTATGGATAAGCCAGGATGTTATGATGGAATGGTGAATTAATCATTAATCGATTATCTATTTGCGTGGCTATAATATTGTATTATAACCTGACAAAGGCCTTTAAGTTGACCATGTCGATTCAAAGCATCGTACAACGGGTTGGGATCCAATGCATTTGGATATACCTCTTCACTTGGAATTACTTTGGTGAAGAAGTAAAGCGATTGGATTTATGATGGATTTAAAATGATCACAAAATTGCAGAAATTTTAAGAATGCTGCACGTTTATTTTCAATGGAGGTTAAGATGAGGATGTGAAATGGCGGCAGGTGTGATGAAATTCTTTCTGCCTGCAGGTTATCGTACCGCCAGTGTAATCATAGCTCTGACGGATGGAGAGCTGCACGAGGATCTTTTCTACTACGCTGAGAGAGAGGTGAGAGAAATAAGCAGAGATTATACCGTGCTCCCATAAATTGGAACCACGTGAAACAGTGACTGAGAATGTGATGGATCAGATCAAACCCTGACACCCTCTAAATCACCGTCTTGGTCTTCCTACCTTAATCTGGAGAAATGGATGTCTGTCAGATTTACACCTCTGAGCCCAGTCTCCTCACAGCTGCACTGTCTGTTAAAGGATTCATGTCATCAAAGGTGTGTGAAGGCCTACAGATTGAATTTGCCACAGGCTTCAACACTTATTGACAACTGATTGTTTATGTGTCCTGTTTGGCTTTACGGCATCAGTGGGACATTTCTATTATTATATGATACGATTGTGTTGTGTCGCTCAACTTCAGGTAAATTCTCGACCCGTTTGGGTGATGTTATGCAGTGTAGATTTAAATGAAAGAAAAGTAGAATTAAACTCAGGTGCTGAGCTTCTTCCTGTTTTTGCCATGAACCTGACAGGCAAACCGCTCCCGCACTCTGGGTGCCTCTGTTTACTGTGTGGGGGTGAAGGACTTCAACGAGACACAGGTTGTGCTTTTTTGTTTGTTTTAGTCTGTTCCTTTATTTTTCAAAATGTTTAAGCTTCAGAATGTGCAACGGAAAGTCAGACTTCAAACTTGAAGTTTTACTTATCAAACTTTAAATTTCAAAATATTGAAACTTATAAGTGCTTTACATTACTTTGATATCAGTGAAAAATATTTAACATTAATTTGATGTTTAAGAGTTCAACAAGGACACGTGATTACATCAAATTATCCATACATTTTGTAGCCTAATGATTAGGCTACGTTTGTCAAGTAGACATTTTTATTTTCTATATTATGTAGAGTAGAGAATTGTCAAAAAAATAGGTTAAATTGTTAATAAATTGTTGTGTTCATATGAGCCAATTATGTTGTAAACTTCACAAATGATGAGTCTTACTTAGTGGGCACTTTTTACATTTTAATTGTATTAACTTGTTTCCTCTCCAGCTGGCAAAGATAGCTGATAGCAAGGACCATGTCTTCCCCGTGAATGATGGATTTGAGGCTTTGCAAGGGGTCATCGACTCGGTGAGTACTTCACGTTGGACCACAACCTGGTTTTAACGGCTCTTGAAGAGTCAAATGCAAGGGTTAATGGAAATCATCTAGTTGTAATGTATTTTTAATCCATTAGCGCGCTGCTAAAAAAAGAACAAACGGGAAACCAGACAAAAACTAATTTAAAACAGGAATTTCATTCCACGAGACACACTTCCAGAAAAGCCCGCTGCGTCTGTGACAGCGCCGCGTTTGATCATCACAACTGACGTCTGGCCAAATGTGATCAAAGCCGCCGCTGTATCTTTTAAGACACATCTCAGTGGTTTCAATTTTAGTTTTTTTGCTACCTCGTGAAACAATAACCAGTTTGGCGTCTGGGGCTGTGGTTACTGGGAAACAGCGCTTGGTGAGCAGAGTTGAAGGTCATCTGGAGCGGATTAACAACAAAGTCAAAGTTAGTCACGTGAGCAGGGCAGTGTGTCACGAACCGTTCCGCTTGGCCTTCAGCATTATGCTTGGCATGTTCTTGGAGAGTATAGAGTACAGATACCGTTTTGCATTGCACAAGTAAGAGTAAATGGACACGTTATGGATACACCCCAGTGGGAATAGCTTAATCAAGGCATTAAGGCACATGCACGGCAGCAAATAATGCAAAAGAGATTGTTGGTTAAAGGAGCACTATACCTCATTCAGAGCATTGTTAAAGCAGCAAAGAACTTCTATGTAAACTAAATAATGTTTCCCTAAACAGCGAACAAAGTAACTCTTCCTCTGTGTGTTTTTGTCCGAGCCTCTCCTTCCTCTGTTGACATAGTCGGGACGGCTGCACATGTAGTGCACGCCATGTGCATGTGGGTTGGGCCCCAACACTTATCTCGGGGAAGCTTCCCTGTACTGTTCTCGTGTAGCAGTTGAAATGCCCCAAGTCACAATTAAGAAAAGCTCAATTATCTGAGTTTTAATGGTCTGGCTGATGGAAAGTATTTCTCATAATTTCCTCAGATCCTAAAGAAATCCTGCATTGAGATCCTGGCGGCAGAGCCCTCTGTTATCTGTGCAGGAGGTAAGACAAGTACACTTCCCGTTTATCTGAGACCTCTTAAAGAATGAAATCGGACAGATGCACCTTAGTCAGCTCTCATTGGCATCGGAGGATCCAAACAAATGTCAGCGGCGATCCCAGACGGAGCAGATTGATATTAATTCATAAGACACAGGAGGAAAGAACCAGCGGGTGGGCTGACAATCATAAGGGGGGAAAAAACACACAGGAACACGACGTGCAGTTCACCCGGCAACACAAGAGGCAGGGAAATACAAAATAAAAATGTTAAATACAAAACATTGTCATAGACTCGGACGCTGAGACCAAAACAAAAATAATGAGTCATTTCTTGTTTTTCTTCCTTGAATCATGAAGATTTAAAGTGAATGGACAACATTAAAGGCTGTCAAAAATAACTCAAATCAGACTATTACTGTAAGAACGTTTTATTTTGACAATGTTGAGCAGTTACTCACCTATCAATACTACATTCAACCAACTCTCTCTCTTTCTTTCTCTAAACTTTAATGAAAGATTTATTTCATTGAGTGTTGTATTGCCCTTAAAATTGAAAGACACTTCAAGAGAGTGAGACTGTGACGAGGCCATAATAGTTAAGACTATCACATCATATTATTACACAATGAGATGTTTTGGTGTTCTACAATTCAAGCTTATGGAAGATGTATTTTCAATTCTTGGAGTGTCATTTGTAATAATTCTCCTCGCTCAGAGTCTTTCCAGGTGGTGGTGCGAGGAAATGGATTCCTCCACGCCCGCAACGTCGATAAGGTCCGGTGCAGCTTCCGCATCAACGAGACCCTCACCAAGAGTGAGTGAAACACTGCTGAGCGGCGTTGAAACAACAGTTTTCCCAATTGTGCTTTCTCAACCCACATGGGCGTTTTAAAGGTGGATCGCTTCCAATGAAAACAGCTGGAATAAATGCAAGTTTGCAGGAAATTGAAAAGCTCACCTCAATTATAGTGAACTGAACTTCCCAAAAGTCAACCACAGAGTCCTTCACACAGCTTGAATGCCTGGTGATCAAACTAACAGCCGTGGTGTCGTGTGTCATAAACACTATTTCACAGCCTGGATAGGAGCCAGAAACCAGAGATAAAAGAGAACCACACACTAGGTAGATAAAATATTGTCTTAAGGATGCAACCAGTTTCCTCATGGTCTTTTACTGCTGGTTTTCTGTAACAGTTGTTGAAACCACTCCACCCACCAGGGATGCCACTGTAGCTGCAGAAGGTGCTGGTCTAATTGCAAAGCGAGATAACCGCCAACGTGGAACTGCTTTCACATGTTTACTCTATTTGGGATGGATAATTGCACACATGCAGCACTGATTAACTAACCAGGGGGATTTTTTTCTTCTCTTTAACAATGGTTATTTTGGTGAAGCCATCAACATTCAGCAAAGGCGCTTCGCACTTTAAATCACGGTGTGAATCATGGGAGAGAAGACATTTAATGAATAGTTTGATATTAAATCTATACCCTCCCTTGGCAGGGGGTAACATGGGAGGATTGATGCCATACTCATTCCTTGCTTAGCAAAAGTTGCTGGCTGGTGTATTTTGTTGCCTTAAGTTTATTATGCTAAGCTAATTGTCTTCAGGCTGCAGCTTACTGTACAATCATTATCTTCTCGCCGTATTCTCGGCAAGAAGGCTAATTAAACCAAGCAGGTGAACCATTCCTTCAAGTGAGACTATTGCTGAGTCAAGTAAACCCACGTACTTTACGTCAATTCCTTTGACAATCCATTACAGTGAAAATTCGTCAGATGTGTACATCTGCCATCATCTTAACCAGTGATAACAGTAATTGACCTACTGGTTAAAGTTGACATCTGGACATTTGTCTTGGTGCACCTCACAGTAAAATATGACCTCTCTCTTGACTCTGGAGTAAACAATCCAATACAACATAATGAAATGCACTCTGGGATGTTCGAGAGATTTATACAGTGGAAATCCGCAGAATCAGACCTCATCAGCTGTTTGCCTTGGGATTCGTCCTTTAGAAGACCGCCGGGCGTTTCTGTTGCGCTTTGAATGGCCATTCTGAGTGCGACTGGCTGCAGAGATGAACTCTGAGGGGGTTCAACTCAATTAAATGAAGTTTGTTTAGCCCAAAATCACAATCATATCTGGCCCAGTTTTTGAGCCGTGCTTTTGGCAGCCCCCCTCCCCCCTCCATCCTGATCAACGTTTGTAGAGAGCCGTCTTGACCCATTCGGCTGCACATGTTGATCTTCTCAGTTCTGGGGTATGCTCTCTGCCTGCCAGGATAAACAAACGGGTGATGAATTTGGCAGGAGAAGTTTTCCTTGAAGCCAGCTGAACAAGGAGAGGATCTACATTTGCCTGAAAAACAAAAGCTGTGTTGCAATTGGAGTTTCGGAGAATTGTGCAGACGTCCTCGTACAGCAGACAAACAAAGATTTTGACAAGTTGGTAACATGGGCATATAATGAGCATGCAATGCCAACACTGGGCAGGATAAACAATGACCCGAGTGTATTTGGGTCATTAACCAAAAGGTCAAACCGATTCGAGGGCTTTACACAAAAGTGAAAACTACTGACTGTTACAAACTGGAATGTTTGGCTGATTCTTCACTCTCATGACCCCCTTTTCATCTTCTTCTCTAGCGGAAAAGCCTTTGATTGTTGAAGATACGTATCTTATCTGCCCTGCACCTGTACTTCAAGAGGAGGGGATGTGAGTGCTGTAATGTATTAAAGTAGATGTGGGGCTTCATATCACACCATCTACTCGTTTTTCTAAGGTCCTGCATTAATGACAATTGAGGCGTTTTTTCTTTCCTTTTTCCAGGACAGCAAACCTTTACGTCAGCATGAATGAAGGTCTCAGTTTCATATCCAGTTCAGTTACCATTTCAACTGTGGGCTGTGTAAGTACGATATCACGTGCCAGCATTTGGCTGCGAAAAGTAATTGGGTAATGGTGCATGCGGGAGGGGGCTGCTTACAGTGCAGCTGGTGCCCTTTTAATATTTTGATCCCTGACCCCTCAGACCCAATCTATAATGGAATACTAATTTAAGATGATGAATACATTAAAGTGTCTCACCATTAACAGATTCCACAGAAGATAAAGCCCAAAAGAAGTGGCATCATTTTAGTGCGTGTTGACTCGTCTGTCTCTGCCTCAGTCTGATGGAACCATCCTGGCCGTTGCTCTGCTCATACTGATGCTGCTCCTGGTCCTGGCTTTCCTCTGGTGGTTCTGGCCTCTCTGCTGTACTGTGGTGAGTTTTATTGGACAATATTGAAATAATAACATGCACGTAGCTGCTTTCCAGATAGCGTCTCGTCTACTCCTAAAATTGTGGATGTTCCAAACACAAATAATTAAGAGAATTCAGTGATATTGTTTGTGAACAATGAGATAAATGTCCATTCTCTGCCCCGTATCATTGAAACAAGATTTCCATAGTGATGCATTTTGTCTATGATTCACCAAATTAAGAGAGCCAGAAAGGCAGAGGCTACCAAGTGAACACGCGTTTAAGTCATTGTCGTTTAAATAGTTTCCGTAGTTCACATCAGGAGACCCTCTGGTGGGTCTCACCCGCTAGTCTCTCAGTTTGTCAGTAAATTCACTGGCGGACCTAAACTAAACAATTTCTCCCATCTGTAATGAGGCAGACTAACTTAAATCTCAACGGAGGAGTTTTGTTTTGATATTATGCCAGAGAGAGATGTCAGCTTTTTACAACATGTCCGTCCCTGCCTTTACTTTTTCCCTGTTCTTGTCCATTAAGTTACAAGTTTGGGTCCGTGCAGCAAGTCTGTTTAGGAAAACGATGCGAGGTTGCCATGGGGAACCGTTTTGTGTTCCAGGATTTGAGAAGCATTGAGGAAAATTACAAATGAGAATCAGAACCGTGTGCATTTATTGTAGAAGAAACTGTCTTAAGGCCTTTTGCACTGGTATTAAAACACACTGACAGGTCACACTGGAAGAGAGCAAAAAAGTGTACGACATCCACCTAAACTAAGATCAAACAGTACAGTTATGAGAGCCTGCTGTCTTCCTTTCGCCCAATAAACAACCTGAGGCCCAAAAAATCTGGATGGCAGATTTGTAGCTCAGTGCGTCGTGTAAGTAGAGGAGAAAACAATTTCTCAAAACTGTATTGATGTCTGACCACCCTGTTTTTTTTAGGAAACGTGTATTTGTGACATTTGTGGTCTTCCAACGAATAACAAAACCTCCTCTCGTACATTTGTTTCCCCCCCCCACAGATCATCCACGAAGCCCCACCAGCCGCTCTGGAGGAGAGTTCGGTACGAGCTGAATCCCCTCAATCTGTTTCTTATGACTCCAAAGAAAAGCAATTTCTTTTAGATTAGGAAACCTGCCAGTGTTAGGTTGTGTATCATAAACCGCAATGGCCGTGCCGCGTCATTCACTCCTTTCTTGGTATGAAACTCATCCAGTAAATAATCCATCGTGAGTTTACGCGCTCTTCAAATAACACCGATATCCTGACGGACTTCACTTTTCCAAAGACGACAAATTACATTATTATTTTTTACTTTCTGTCACTCTCCCATAGGATGATGAAGACTTCGACGCCCCAAAGAAGAAATGGCCGACTGTAGATGCGTCCTACTATGGAGGGAGGGGAGTTGGGGGAATCAAAAGGATGGAGGTTTGGATCAAATAAAGCACCTGTTGTATTAACTTCTGACCTATTTCAAGTCATTCAGTTTCACCATCATACACTTGTCTCTAAAGTCGTGTCGTACACCTACGACCCGCTGTGCTCTCTGTCATTAGGTCCGCTGGGGGGAGAAAGGCTCCACCGAAGAAGGAGCAAAACTGGAAAAGGCCAAAAATGCAAAGGTGAAGATGCCTGCACAGGAGTACGAGGAGGCCCCCACACGCATGCTCAACAACGGCATGCGCAAACCCTTGGGGCCCCGCAAGTGGTACTCGCCCATCAAGGTACAGTACCAGCCAGGAGGAGAATATCTGGGGGATGCGTTTGGTCTGCGGACGCCGTTTCCAGTCTCACTGATGACAACAGCTTCTCCTGACTTTTAATTGCTAAACGTAATTGTTTTTAAAGGAATTGGGAAGGATTGGGACGATGTTTGTTTTAAGGAGTTTGCGAATATAGAGAAGCTTTGCTGGGATAAATGACTTCATGTTAATCTGGCCACGGATATTCAAATAACAACATTAGTGAAGCGTGACAAGGGTTGAGGTAATAATGCTTAGGTGACCACCGTCGCACAGTCCTGTCCTCCAGGGCCAGCATGGGGTTAAGGAGTCGCTGCGGAGCGTGCAGTCAGCAGGGGATTGCTAATAGAAAGCAGACTTCTGTTGGACTGACCTCCAGGGAGCAAAGCTCCACAGCCAGCAGTTCTGTGAGAAGAAACAGCTGCAAATTCTGCCCTTATCCTCAAAGTATTTGCTGCGTTTAAAAGCTATGAAGAGTCATATCGTGATGGAACTGAAAACACTTTTCAGTTGCTGGGAGAGTCGGATAATAGTGGTCCGTTCACAGGAACCCGAGTTACAGGGTGGAAATGTGTTTTTACGACTGACGGGAAGAAAAACAAAAAGGGTTTAGAATAGATGCTTGATTTTAATAATAAAAGGTAATTTCTAGATGAATTAAAAGGGTTTACCAGTTTGATTTCCTCTCTGTTTCCCGTAGAGCAAACTGGATCTATTGTGGGTACTTCTAAGAAAAGGCTACAACCGTGTGTCTGTAATGAGACCTCATCCGGGTGACAAGGTAAGGATACCTCAAGGCCCCACAGACATGGAACCAACAATCAGCCCAAATATGACCAACTGATGTGATCTTCAAGAGTTAAAGAAATGGGTCTGAGAGAAGTCTGTATATTATAATCCCTAATTCGCAAGAGTTTATGTAATACTTCATTTTTCCTTGAGTCATTACCCGCAAATTTTATGAAGAAAATATCGTCAGAACCTTTTACATTCACTCCACTGCAGCAGTGAAGCCAGATGTTTTGAACATTTGGGGTTGCACGATATTGGAAAAAGCTGATCATGCGAGTTTCTTTTTCTGCTGTTTATATATTGCAGGAATATTTACCTCAAATTGTGTAGGCTGTACTTTAAAAGTTGAGGGCAAGAAACATGGACAAAAAAATTTAAGAAACTAGACAAACAATATTGTACCCAAGTAAACAATGTTATCATTCACACATTGGTTACATCTCAATGGTGATGACATGGCAAAGAAGCCACACCCACAAAGCAAAAAGAGGGGCACTGTGTGTCTAGACAGGTTTTGTTAGGTAACAAATCTGCTTAGTTAAAATGAAAATGCCATAATTATTGGAAAGCTCTAAACCAAACATCCCCAACAACGTTGACGGAATAGTTTTCATACTCTGATTCCAATAACAAAACAACAGAAGAACATTTCTTAGATTTTCTAGAAAATAGCTTGCAGGTAGCAGCAGAACAAAACAGCCCCCTCAAGACAATGTTGGGGCGACAAAAATTGTTGGGATTGGAAAAAGTATTTCCCCGGTAAGAGAACATTTTCTGCATTCATTTTTCAGGTTCAGACGAAGAGACTGGCCGGAAATTACAAGTTGAAACCCAAATAAAATCCAATGTTTTAAAATATAATATAGTCTGGAGCTTCAGATTATTATGATTTGAAACCGGAGAATAGTGGAGGGAAACCATCTAGCATCATTTTTTTAAGATCCACAATGTCCACGGCCCCACGCGCACTAAACACATACAAAATACAGGTTTGGATTGTTGTTTTTTCCATTCTAGATGTAAGTCTGAGAGGTTACTTTGCTCCGCATATGAATGAGAAAACAGCGCTGTCATCACTATCGCCACTCCGTGATCCCCTCGGTGCAGCTGCTCTCGGGGTGTAGCTGAAATATGATCGTCCCTCTGGCGTGACCTCACGTAGGGAGGAGAGCTGGCAGGTTGTTTTGTCAGGCTGAGTGGATCATACATATGATTGGTCTGTTGAGAAGGCAGTAACGCAGGCGTGTGGACCGTAGGACTGCTTATTTATCACCACATCATAGAAACAGGTCTGTTTTGAAATTTCAGGGCAGATGTATGAACTTCACCCACATGAAGTCTCCGTCGCCTCATCACCCGCGCTACAACCATCACCTATCTCCCATCTACAACCCACCCAGCAGGACCCCGCCTACGCCGCAAGGCACGCTCCCCCCCAGCCCCAGCAGCCCTCCATCATCTCCAACGCCTCCTTCCACCTCCACCGCTGCCCCCCCTCCCACCTCCCCTTCCCGTTACACGCCGCCTCCCACCTTCTCCCCTCTTCCGCCCGCCCTTCAGATGTCCGACCCCCCAATGCTTCCTCCCGCACCTCCACCCTCTTCCTCCCCGACTGGTTCCCTGCCTCCTCTTCCACAGGGGCCTCCTCCGGGACGAGCCCCTCCACCCGCCCGCCCACCTCCTCGCCCTGGCCTGTAGAGCCCCGCGAGCATACGGGACGCGGTTTAACAGAATTTTTTAAAAAAGGCGACTCAAGAACCCCACCCACAATCAGCACATGACCACCTTTGGTTGTGCCTGTGAGGACCTGCGAGCGCCACTCAGCCACTCAGCGGGCTGCGACCGCTGAGGACTTTTGTTTTCAAGGACTTTGTCTACTGTGACTTCCTCCACATATTTAGCCAAACAATGCAATTGCTCGGATGCACGTATTACACCAGCATGCCTTACAAATGAGGTGAGGTCAGGACGGCTTGAAATTATTTTCCTCCTTGGTCCTCAGAGCTGCTTCAGGCCTCGTGGTCCCTTCCATGCGTCCACAAGATTAGACAAATCCTGACCTGCTTGAACGAACGCCTCTTCAAAAGGAGTATGACGCTCACGGCACTAAAATATGGGCCTATGTTACATTTCCTGTTAGAGATAAGACTCATTTCGCAAATGTTCAACATGAAGCAGATTCAGGAGTTTAAAAGAATCTGATAATCCAAATGTTTGGTTTTCTTAAATGTTAACTAATTGTTGATGTTTTTGTAACGTTTCTGTGTTACATTCACTTTTTTTACAACATAAATGCATTTTGTATTCATACTTTGTCTTACCTCAAAAACTGATAATGGGGTTTTCTCAACAGTCATTAGTGATAAACACATTTACACAAAAGGCACAAAGTGAAACACCAACATATACAAACTAGTTCCATGGGTTAAAAATGCAAAGTCGCTTTGGATAAATTACATGTAATGTTCTTTAACCAGCATCAGCTGGTCAAATTCTTTGTGCACATCAGAGTAAACAATGTTTTTTCGACCTATAACTTTAACTGACCCGAGCAAGATGACTGAAATTGCTGCATAGACTGAGTCTATCAACGTGGACACCAATATGTCTGTCAGGGAAAAGCTTTGCACATCATCTTACTCACCCACCCACGACCTCTAGCAAAGGGGTTTTGTGTAAATAATAATTTGATATAGTCATAAGTGTTCAGATTTCTGTGGGTGTGTGTTTGCCAAAAAGTGGTAGGCAGCCCGTTTACTCAACTTTAACAAAACGATCAGGCTTTTTTGCACAAAGTGCTTCCAGTTCTTGAAAGACTGGAACCTAATAAAAGTGTGACGTTTCATGGGTCATAGGTAGTTGGTTAGATGGAATTACGGTTATTATGAAAATGTTCTTTGATGATCAGGAGTCTGAGAAGAATGCAGTGCAGATTGTAAAGCCACCACTTCACTCGAAGATTCTTATATAACTGAAAAGACGGTGTGTAACTTTCCACTAATACAGTATGTATTGTTAACACATTTGTTGGTTTCACTCAAAATAAAGTAAATAATCAGTGTATTATATTTTTTATTGTGTTTGTTTTTATGTATTGTGTTTCAAACGCAATTACTGACCAGTTAAGCAGTGTGACTTACTTGACAATGTGAGAACATACTACACACCTCGCTTTCGAAGAATTATTTAAAGCCCGTAAAGATTTCAATGGGTTTAAAGTGCTCCTCCTTAACTAAACTCTACAGGATGTCTTCCACATTCCATTTATTCTTCAGTATGTTAGGATATAACAATATTCTTATTGAACTTTTGATTTATTTTCTTTAATTTCACAGTAAATTTGACGATTGAATCGCGACTGGAACCATCAGGTTCACCAAGTGGACAGTAGCTAAAATGAGCACCTCCGTCACTCCCTGTGATGGAAAAAGAGAGAAAGAGTGTGCAGAGCATCGCTAACTAATCCCAGATGTTCATACGTTGCATAATGTCACATGCATCAATGGCGTGCGATATTTTGGAAAACATTAGACCGTCTAATCCTCAGGAAATGTGGACAGGCTGCAGGAAAGGTGTCCTTGTGCCGAGACATCATTTGAGGATAGGTAACGGACAGGACTGAGTAAAGCAATGTGTCGCAACTTCTTAATGTCTCAAAGAAAGTGATTTCACATCCAAGATTGACAGCATGTAGGGACTTTTTCAATCTGATAGTTGTCCTGTTACAAAAACAAAAATGTAAAATGTCATTGAGTTTTTGCCGGCTTTTGTTTTGTTTGCACCCGATCTTGTTTTTTTCCTTCATTTCTGGCAGAAAGTTAATCAAACAAATTTTTCTTTTGAATTTGGCAGCACCATGAGGGAGGCCAGCTGTGTTAAAACAACACTCACTGTGTCTTGCCTACAACCATGAATGCCAGAAGAGATGATCAGCTGATGTGTAAGGAGAAGGGGCATTATTGCAGTTTCAACTGGCTCCATACTAGTCAGTACGGGATGTATATTGTCCCAAAACAGCGTTTCAAATACAGTGGGCCAAAAATGCAAAGGATATATGAACAAGAGGGTGAAAGTGTAGCATTGGCCTCCCCCTTATCTACTAATTTAATGTGATGACCAAATTGCAATGTCCCAATTTAAAGCATAAGAAAATTAACAATGAAAACTTAAGTAAGAGCAGCTAAAGTATGTAGTAAAAGTCCAATGAAGATTCACGGAATTTGGAATCCAAGTTGGCAACTAATAAATGATTGGTGGTGATGTCAGACAACTACACCCCCCCATCGTCCTGGGTGTTCCACTGGATGGAAAGCACAGGTGCGGTTTGTCACATTAACAAGGAGTCTGACCAGTTCAGCCTCAGTTTTGTAACTGCCAAATGTGACACAGACAACGGAGTCATTGTAAGCAATATTCTCATCCCGTCATTTACCGCCAGTGACACGCAACGGAAAAAAAACAAAATTATATTAAGGCCATTTAATAACTAATTAGGCCACAGTGGAGGAAACCAATGCAAATAGTTATGCAATCAACCAGACGCCATAAAGCAGCTGTGACGTGTCTGACGTGCCGGTGAAGGACTTGACTGCAGGACAGACGGCACCTGAAATGCTACAAATGACGCGCAATCCAGATCCAGGACTACCGAAAAAGCTGCTTTTGGTCGGGTTATGGAGGCTGCATTTACTCACAGCCGTGGCGATCTTCTGCAATTACTCTAGAGCTGCACTCGAGGCCACTGCTGTGGCCACTCAGTGCAACGACGTCCTCCTGAGAATTGCACTTGCTGTGACCAAGTGCACCGCTCTGTGTCTCTCGACCATGCTGAGGCTCAACGCGTTCCTCGGGCTGACGCTGGCCGGCGTGCTCTTCTCACGGGAGGGAGTGGACCAACGTCGACACTCGATCTGCTCCACCTGTGAGTCATCAGAGACCTTCGGAAACAAAGGCTCCTGTCTTTTGTGCCGCGAAGGAGGAAAGACTGTGCGGTGGCTCAAGTCGGCGCTGCACGCCGGGTATGCACTGTGTGGTTGTTTGCAGTGTGTGAGCAAGGCCATCGTGGCCCTGCTGAGGTGGTGCAGTACCTTCAGACCCTCCGTCTCCACCATCATGACTCTGTGTGGATGCATCAGATCACTGCTGTCCACCTGCCAGACTGTGACTGGTTACGCTACACAAGTACTGGATATCTTTGGGGATCAGTCATTACTCATAAGCAGACCATGAATGCTTCGTGAATCTGGACTCTTTTAATTGAATCTACATAAAGAAGAAATTGCAGTTTTATTACGTCTATTGCCTGTTTTTATTCCAATAAAATGACATGATGACCAGTGTAAGTTAAAACAATGTTTAGCAGACTGTTTCAGCATGTGCATTTACACCCTTAACTGTACCTTGAATAAAAAGGGAAGTTAAACAATTTATTGCATCAACAAAATGCTAACATGTCGTGCTCCACTCAAACAGTAAACCAACAGGAGTTGCAAGGATTCAGTGCAACGTCCTTTGTTTATGCCTTCAGTGAAGAATTCAAACTACTGAGAGCATGTATTTGAGCAACAAAAATACCTACATTGTCCATTTTTCAAAACCTTTCAGGAGAAGCTTTGGGTGGAAGGTTAATTGCAAAATCAACATTTTTAGACCTAAGGTACAGCTACTAAAACAAGCAGCTCCCGTTTCTACATGTGTACAACACGCATGCCTTTTGAAACGAAGACATTTGGATCATCACAGCTTGCGTCTGACTTTCTAAACAAACCTCTGAAGTACAATAGCACTAGTGTTGTAATGGGCATACTGCCGTAAAACTGTATATATGCCCCCGTAAGGCCTTTATGCCACACAAGCTACCAACCTCAGTACATGTCTGGATACAACACAAGATGAACATAATATTTATGTTTTGGTACAACTGGCTTTGGCAGTTGTAGAGATTTTTGGTTTGACTGTATATTTCAAATGTCAGTAACATTCTCATCTCAAATCAAAGAGTAACTTCAATAATCTAAAAAGAAAGTGAAATATAACAAAAGAACAGCTACAAATGGTCCCTTTTATTGCAGTAGTTGTGCTGGCAAGGTGTGGGTTGGGAACTGGGTGCAGCTTTTACCTTCGGTTAGTAACTTCATCACAAAATGTGCACATTTAGGTAGCAGTATAGAGAATGGTAAAAGCAAAAAACATCTACAGTAACAAATCCATTTCACACTCCTAGTAAACAAGGCCTATTTCCATTAAAATGAGCCCACTAAGACCAGAGAGTTTAAATACAAAACACTAATAAGCTTCTAGAACCCACACGGAACGATTTTACAAAGCAGTGGATATTAACAAGCCTGTGAGCAAGCTGTGTGTCCTCAGAACAAAGTACAAGAAGAAACGGAGACAACACTAGCAAACCACGCCGCGCTACGAAGAAAGCAATGCCCTGTGGCTTGGAATGATTAAAGACTGTCCTTTACCTTCACGGTTATGATGAGCTGCCAAATAAACAATATCTAAACTAAACTACAAATCATTGCACTAAAAAGGAAGAAAAAAAAAGAGCCAGTCAGGTTTTTAAGACACACCTTCTGTCAGCCAGCGAACCATCCCTTGCTAGCGGGTTTCAGCTGCACAAGCCTGCAGCATGATGGAGTCAGTGACCAGCCCAGACCTCGCCACCACACACAAAACTGCTTCTCCAACATTCACGACAATCAAGTCAAAACGATTCCTGGGAAAATCTAAAGTGAGATACAGATAATATGTAACAGTCGGATGCACAACTGTTGAGTAAAAGGTTGCATTACAAAGAGCCATTACATAAGAAACATAGACGTTGTTTTCTTTTGGGTTTCTGCATACAGACGCTCCATCGCTATCTGAGCACGTTTAAATGTTGCATGTTTCGTTGGTGATGATTGGGGCCTTTCACTCTACGGTCACAGACTTCGCCAGGTTTCTTGGACAGTCGACCTGTATTTAAAAACACAGGGAGATAACTCACTACATTATAACAATAAACGACGCCCTGCGTAACAATAAAGCGCTTCTGCTGATGACTTTACAGCATTAATGGGACTGTATCACACTCTTTAGATGCTCTTGCATGACGTCCATTGCTCTCAACTTGTACACTATTATCGGCTGGCTAACTGCAGATACCAAAATCTTTTAGTTATGATGATGACTGCAGATGAAAATGCAGAGATGTAGGACTTCAGAGACGGAAATTTTACTGCATTTTTCGGTCTTAGTTGAACTTTCGGTCATGACTATCAGTTACCGCTGAGGCTGAAGAACTTACGTCGTAACCTCGGAGGACAGCCAGGTGAAAGGAAAGCAGCTGGAGCGGGATGACGCTCAGGACGCCCTGCAGGCAGTCCACACAGTGAGGCACATTGATGGTGCGGCTAGAGTTCTTGGCAGTCTCGAAATCGTCTTTGTCACAGATCACGATGGGGCGGCCCTGTGAATCAAACAAAGAAAATTGTTTTTGTTATTAGTCAACCAAAACTGGATCTCTCTCAATTGGTTTTCCCACCTTTTAAAATTCACATCTGCCACAGATTACTAAAAGCAATGATGTCACACTAGAAAGAGCCCTCCCATTTAATGAGGTGAAAGATCAGGGGTGTGGCACAGACAAGACTGTGAAAGTATTCAGTGACTTTGGAATGCAAACAATGATGGCCCAAAAACCTCAATAATTCTAGTCGAAATGAATTGACCAAGTCGGTTTCCTGAGCATTTGACGAATACATCTGCATGGTCAATAAAGTCTGTTCACCACTGCAACAGGACACTGAAGACTTAGAGAATTAATATCACAACATTACCACAGGTCTTACCTGGCGGGCAACAATTTGCTGCAGGGCGTTCTGACATTTGACGTAGGTGTGGTCTCTCATGATGATCATGATGACTGGCATGAGTTTATCCACCAGGGCCAGAGGACCATGTTTCAGCTCTCCAGCGAGGATGCCTTCTGAATGCATGTACGTAATTTCCTTGATTTTCTACATAGGATGAAAAGCAACAACCGTAAGTCAAGAAAAGCTTACAACGCAGTCATTAAGAGTTTACATTTTTAAAACCACAAAGACAGAGTGCACCTCTGAAGTAACACTTCTTTTGTCTTTTCTCTTTTGCACATCTCATAAGTGCTGCGCTGCTTGGTATTCTATTTTTTGACTAAGGGATAATATACGATCGGAGATTATTTACACAAGTCTTTCAGTCCGGTATTACTTCACTGAAGCCCTGCAGGAACATCTGGCAGGAGTTAAAACATTGAAAGGAAAACAAAGCTGGTTGAAAAGAAGATTGCATTCGCTCACCAGTGCTCCTTCCAGGCAGGTGGCATAATGGTAGCCTCTGCCCATGATCAGAACACTCTTCTGTTGGTACAGCTCTGTTGCCAACTTCTGGATCTCATCATCCAAACTGAGGACCTCTTTAATCAGATCTAACAGACACAACACCAAAACCGGATTAGAGGATCCGTTTTGAATCTTGAATAAAATCATGAGTCAAAAAAGATACTGTGGCACATGCTGGAATAAGGAGCCGGACATTCCTCATTATTCTACCATTAAGGAAATTCCCATAGAGAAGCACGGAAGAGCACGCGGCCCAACAGCCTAAAATGCTCTTGTCTTCAAATCCCACTCTCATCACTTAGCGTCATCTTCCAAGAGGATTGTTTGAACAAACATCAAAAATAAATTGCAAGTGTACGGGATCATTTGCCATTTGCCCGTCTCACATCCCTCTACATGGTAATCTCACACGTCGTTAGAATATACCGGGCATTCATTTACCTGGAAGCACTCTCAGGCCCTGGATTATCTCTCGGCGTCTGGGCTGCACGGAAATCCTGTCATCGCACATGAGGAGCGCAAACATGATCAAGGCCACAAACTGGCTGGTGTAGGCCTGCAGAGCAAAGACAATCAGATTGGGTTAATTGGGTTAATACGGTCACTATTACATAATAAAGTCACAATTTGAATAATAATGATCCATGCATTCATTTAGAATAGCCACAACTACCACTGGACATGTTGTGAGCCAATTACTATGCTACGGTAGCTCAACAACCCCGTCCAGCAAAGCCGCTCTCTTAGTAGAGTGCTCGGAGCTCATGCTTCTTGTCTCCCAATATGATTTCCCTATTAAGTCTCCAGCTAATAATCTGTACCAGATGAGAAATGAAGGAGAAGTAGTTTTTAGTTTCACAACAAGTAGTGTTATAAAAGGTACGCACTTGAGCTCTCGCTGCTCATCCTGGAGAACATTGTGCAGACGACATCACAACAAAGAGCCCTGATCATTGCGCAAACGTCACTGCTCACAGCACCCCGTGCATCTTCACCGCCCACACACACGCTCTGTTTCTTCATCTCAGAGCATGTTTGGAGACCTTCCATGGCCAATTGAGAGGGCCAAGTTGTTTCACGGGACCCTCCAGACTCAGTAACGGCAGTTCCAAGAAAACAGCCGTAAAAAATTTCCGCTGTTTTTCCCCCCCTCTGACAACAAGCTAACCACAGTCTATCAGAACTCTGACTGGTCTGTGCTGCCGGCTGAGATGTGGCAACATTTAATCCACGTAGTAAGGTTTTTAGTGTTCTCGTCACCAATGTTGTCACAGTTCCAACCGTGCAAGGATGACCGCGCTCATATAAACAGATGAAACAAGGAAAATAATTCTCTAAAACAGACAGTTGTGGACCAGAAGGCACATTTTATAACCATGCCAATTCTTTAGAAAGTACTGCTACATAACTCTGAAAAACACTCCTCTTGATGAATTTGGAGTCACTCAGCAAGTGAGTGCGATACGCTTTCTATTCCATAGATTTGCTGAGCCAGGTCGAAGCATTCGGTCGAGCAGTAAACGATGGCGTCTGAGGCGTACGCGCCCTGGAGCGTTGGAGCAGAGAGTCCCCGAGCCAAGCCCAGGGGCTGGGCCTGTGAGGGACACTCTTAACTAGCTGTGGCTCCACTATTCTTCAAACTGGCAAAACCTTTTTAACCTTTTTGAGAAAACGTCAAGAGATGATGACATCAGGCTTTGTAAACTATATCAGTTTGACGTGGTTTTCATCTGGGTTTCATTCAGGGGTTGTTGAAGTCATTTAGAGGAGGATTTATATTTATTATTTGGGGCTCGGCGAGTTAGCAGGATCTGGTAATGTAAATATAAATGTGTGCCTGCGGTTTACATCCCATTTCTTCCTTCACGGATTAGTTAGCCAAATGGCAGGCAAACTAATAAGTCTCGTTGTCGCTTAGGCCATAAAATATTGCTTGATATTGAAAATATATATAATTTTTCCATCCAAAGCTCAAAATTATATTATTAAAATGTTGCATTTGTGTGTCCTAACCCTTTATCTGAGGCATGCTTGTAGAAACTGTAGATATATAGCACAGCTACTGCAAAAAAAGAGGCTCACCTTGGTGCTGGCTACTCCGATCTCAGGCCCTGCATTGATGTGGACTCCACAGTCTGTCTCCCTGGAGATGGAGCTTCCCACTGTGTTGGTGATTCCCACGGTCAGAGCTCCTCTCTCCTTACAGTAGTGCAGGGCCATGAGGCTGTCAGCAGTCTCCCCTGGAGAATATTAAAAACGAAACAGTGAAATATTGTTGATTTCTTTGGTTTGCTTGGAAACGTTTTTGCATGACACGGGACCGTTTTGAAAGTGCCTCATCCACAAAAAAACCCACAACAGAAATATCACATCAAACAAGAGAAGCACACACACACACACAGAAGACCTCAGTAGGTATTTAACAGATGGAGGAAAGCAGAACAGCGGGGACCAAAGTGGCCCCCGGGGATGGAAAAAGGCAAATGCCAACCAACCTGATTGGCTGATGAAGAAGCAGACGTCGTCTCGGAAGACGGGAGTGTTCCTGTCCAGGAAGTCACTGGCGAGCTCCACCATGACGGGCAGCTCGGTTAGCTCCTCCAGCACCTGGCGGGTCTGGGAAAGCAACAGAGAACGATTCAGTGTCATCCTGTTAAAACAAGCTGGGGGAATTCAGAGCAGAGAATTTGCCAGCGCACCACCCTCCCACCTGTGTCCACAATACAGACATGAACCCCAACTGGTCTGATGGATGTAATGTGGATGGAAAGACAGACATGTTTCGATTATGTCCATTTAAAACAAAAGCAAAAAAAAGTCAGGCGAGATGGCTACTCACCGCCACCCCTGCATGGTAGCTGGTCCCGCAGGCAATGAGGATAAGTCGTCGACACCTCTGGATCTCTTTGATATGGTCCTTCAGTCCACCCAGTATCACTGCGAGGCAAAGCAAACAACCAACTCATCATTCTGCTCCTTCCAGCTCAATAAAAAGGGACCAAAAAGAGACATTAGGGCAACAGGCATGATGGGATAGAGAAGGAAAAAAGTGCATTTATTTATTTTCTACTACGTCAATCGCTCTGAAAAGTAACCTGTGTTGTTGTCGAAGTTGATTCTCCCCCTCATTGTATTGACCACAGATTCCGGCTGCTCAAAGATCTCCTTCTGCATGAAGGAGCTGAAGTTACCTGTGAGGGAAGAGAAGATGTCAGGGGAGCATTTTGAACACTGGTACAAAAAACCCCCGCAAATGCCTCTTAAGAACACTGTGATGGACTTTTTATGAAGTGTTCCGTCGAAGAAAGGTCTTGTTGACACATTGAGGGAGACAAGAAGATCTTTGAAATGTTTTAGTAATAAATAATGCTTTCCTAGAAATGTAAGTAGTTATTATATTTTTTTGCTACATTAACGTGTTTAGAGCCACGGGGTAAATAATTCCTTAAATGAAGGAAATCAAACACGAGGCGACGGGGAGAAAAGTGTTTTTCCACTAATGATTTGAGAATTTTCAGCTTGCCATTGACAGCTATTTAGGTCATGCAAAGTAGGTTATCCAGCTGAAAGCCTCCAGAAACTGAGGAGAGAGGCTGCAGAATGACAGGACCACAAAGGAATGTTGGGAGCAGCCAATACCAGTTTACATCTGCCCTCTACTGGACGACTGAGGAATGGACGGAGCAGAAATACTAACGTTAATTTTTTATTGTCTCCTTCATCTAGAAGTGTGTTCACATGCATTTTGGATGAACAGTTGAAACCGTGCCTCCCTTTTTGATACAAATTTTCCAATTTTTAATTTTAGCATACATTTTTGGTCCCCTTTACAACTGGCTACTTAGGGTTTCCGTCCGGAAACAAATAAATAGATATATTTTGTGTTATTGGACTGCTGGTAAGAGAAAAGACTTTGAACTCTGGTAAGTTGCGGTGACTGTTTCACAACCTTTTGACATATCGTGAAAACATGTATAATAGAGAAAACATTGCACAGATCAATAATAGAAACACTTTTACTAATAGAATAATGAAAAAGGAGTAGTTTAACACTTTAGAAATACTTTTATTTGCCTTCTAACTTAGTTATTGGAGACAGTTGAAACACCGGTTATGTCAGTAGGGTAAATGTGTGGCTCTAAACAGCCTGGAACAGGACTGGAATCCACAAGTCGGACCCTCCCAGTAACCGACTGCACTTTCCAAAACTTGTCACAGGTCCCTGTGAAGAATTAGTCTCATACGAGATTTGAGACCCAGTGAATCCCAACTCTCCAAAAGAGAGCAATTAAGCATATTTCCCAAAAATGTAGAACCATCTCTTTGGGCAACTCTGTACAAAAAGTGACACAGTGATGTAAATGGATTAACTCTCAAATTAAAGCTAAAATGTATAGCGTGTTAGCCTTTGTTTAATTTTAAATAATGTGCAAACTGCACTATATGTCTACTTAGGCTTAGAAAGGGAAGGTGACCAAGAAACTCCTGCAACTCAAGGGTCATTTTAATGACAGTGGCTTTAGAAGGGTTGTAACCGGCCTCAGGGCTGAACGTTCACAGCCAGCTCAGAGACACACATAATAACAGGGTTTGGGTCAAAATTACAAGGCAGTTCACCAATGATTTATTTGCTAAACGTACAAAAGGGAGTAAATGAATAGATCAAAGGCTGGCCTTCAACTCACCCTTCATGATCTGCTGTAGCTCCATCTGCAGGGTTTGGATGGCGCGAGCTGGATAGTCTCCCGCCGTGCGCTTTATCCGGTGAATGGACAGCCGGCCTTCCCTCACTGCAGCCACATCGTCGTCCTCCAGGAAGATCACCCGATTTGTGTGCTCAATCACTGCGCTGCAGAGACGGACCAGAATCAAACATTTTGTTTCTAAGGGCTGGAACCTGGATCACAACATTTGGAAATTTAAATCATTACTATGGTCAAAAGCGGCCCACCCGCTTTACAATTACAATCCTCAACACGTAGGGTCTGCAAAGTGGACTAGTTCTCGCTCGGCTTGGAGAAAGCGCTGTAAAAAGTGGGTGTAGAAATAAAAGGTGTCAGATTACCTAGCATCGGAGGCAAAGTAGTACTCCACAGCTTTCTCATCCACAGGGAACAAGCAGGTGTCTTGTTCCATCCTGGCTATGGCGCCACAGCCCTTCTTGTCTTTAGTGGCTGTGTGGGGGGGGGGGGGAAAGAGACTGGCCTCAGTCACATTTTTGTAATCTAACATAAGAATCGATGATTAAAAACTGAAGTTGTAGCTTACCAGAGCTGTACAGCACAGGAATATGATCCGAGGACAGCTTGTGATCACTCCTAACTCCCATCAGCAGGGGACTCCCCCTCCTGCGAAGCGACATCTTTATGAACCACAATACTTCCATCTGCAACAACCAACAGTTACGACCCCAGGGAGTGAGAATGTACCTTGTGCCGACAGCCTCTCCAGGGTAGTGGACACTTTTGAAGACCAGGGCAAAAGCTCCCTCCTGCCAGGTGGAAGAACAAACTCATCGGACAGGCTCTTTTATCGGCTGATCACGTCTGGAGCCGCCGTGTGCATGAGCGGGTCCTTACCAGCAGCCGGGTGGTCTGTTCCACCAGTGTAGCGAAACTGATGTCATCGTTCTCCCGGTTGTCAAACATGTACTTTACCAGCTTGGCGATGGTCTCTGTGTCAGTTTCTGATTCAAACTCGTAGTCTTTGCTCTCCTGCGGAGATGGAAGGAGAGTTAATCCTGTCTCCTGTTGGAGTGAAGTCAGCGGAGGAAAAGAGGTTATTAACAAATATTTACCCACCAAGAATTTCCTCAGATCTTTGTAGTTGGTGATGATTCCGTTGTGAATGACGATGAACTCTGCAGACCAGAAAGAGCATGACAAACAAACAAAAGGTGTAAAGAGAGCCGCCACAAGGTCAAGAAGGTGACTGAGCGCTTCTGCAGTGAGAGCTACACCTTTAAAAGACAACTGACCATTGTTCTTGTCCGACCGTTGGGGATGGCTGTTGACTGCGCTTGGCACGCCGTGCGTGGCCCAGCGCGTGTGAGCGATGCCAAGATGGACATCAAACTCCACATCAAGGTCGACGTCCTGTTGCTCTGAAAGGGCCGACACGTGTGATATTCAGAGTCCCGCAGTACACAAAAGGATAAATTAACAAGGCATCGCTTGTTTAATGTTGGATTCAAGTCACTTGGCTTACTGTCGATCTCCTCGTCGAGAGCTTTTACTTTTCCACGTTGCTTGATCAGTTGGATGGACTTAGCGTTTGTCTCCCAGTCCTTGCCATTACCGCCATCTATTCCAACACCTAACGAAGAAAAACAACAAAAACTGCATGAGAAATACAGTGATATTAAATAAAGAAATATACAGTATATGTGTGTTGGAATATGTATTGCAGATAGACGTCATTAGCTCCGTTCGCTTCGTGTTACTAACTGAAAAAAGAAGTCTGACTGCATTGCTGCATTACTGGTTGTACTGCAAGGGCCGCATTGCAAATTTAACTGTTCTTTCGGCAGACAATGAGGAGACAGTTAAAGAAAAGGTGCGTTTTCCTTCTCTCTCACCAGAGGAGTCGTAGCCTCTGTACTCCAGACGGTGAAGGCCTTTGAGGAGGATCTCAAGGATCTCACGGCGAGTCCTCGGCACATGGTAGTTGAGATAAGCAAAGATTCCTGGGAAGAGGAAGGAAAACAAACGTCAAGAATCAGAGTTGTTTTCAATACAAATATTTTTTTCCCACTCTAAAATAGACATTTCTGTTAATTATGCCTTTATTCCAAAGTAAAGACTGTTATTTCACCATATTATTATGTATATTTCGTACACAGCATACACATTATGATTTGAACTTCTTGGAATTGCATTTTTGTACACCTGAATGTTGTAAAACCAGAAACATGAGTCTCAAAAGGATTCCACGAGAGGTTGATAATTGATCATATTTACTTTCTGAACCTAGACTAATGGCAATAATGAACATAGGTGGCCTTACTAAGGGCAATCTGCTGCTATTTACTGGACTAGGTTAAATGTCAAAAGCTCAACTATGCGCATGGAAACAAGCACTGAAAGAAAAAAAAAGTAATGAAAAACAGCCCTGTTAAACAGCCAACAGAAGCATGCAGCTGTATGTGTGACTGAACAGAGCATTGATTCAGAGCAGCAGGATCCAAAGGGGGTAGGAGGAGAACATTGGCAAAGAAAAGTGCAGTAGCAGTCAAGCAAAAAGCACACCAAAAGAAAATGTTAGTAAAACAGAAAAATAGTAGTAAGATGATTATAATTAAACAGAGAAGCATTTGTTTTTATCCCCTGGGAATAGCAACTATATTTAGTCTATTTGTTGTGATAATAGCAATCAGAGATTGTAGTGAAAGTGACACAGAGAGGTGTCAGTAATAAAGAACATGACCAGACAACGTGGGACAGATACACACAGCATCTCAACTACTGATCACAACAAAGGAACTCGCGACTCCAATCTATACACAATGGCAATAATAACTCATCATTAAGGTGAAACGTGTAACGCTTAGTCAACTATTAAGAGTGAGCGCGCACAATGGACGTGAGACGTCGGTCACCGCACAACACGCAGCTGCGTTAGCAGCAAGAATAATCGAGCCCCAGAGTTGAGGACACTGCTTAACACTGTTCAGCATCATACAAATAGCGCGTGTGACGGTATCGTCGCGGGAAAAGGAAACCGTGATGGCTTTTTAATTGCGTAGTTAAGTGACAGCATCAGAAGCACCAGCTCATGTTGGCTAACCGAGGTTAGCCACCCCTAGCTAACCTAAACTGACTGATGTTAGCTCCTAAAGCCTAATTTAACCATGCAAGCAGTACCAACAGTTGTTGGTCTGTTAAAGATAATGTACACTGGTGCTTCCTACTGAATAACAATAAATGTACAGTGTATCCAGTACTCACCACACATGTTTACGGTTCGGCTGCCAGTTACAGCTGCTGGGATACTCTGTCACATATAGAACCCGCCCGCTGTGCTTTCACTGACTCAGAGCCAACCGCCTTGCTCCATGGCGTATCCTGATTGGCCGAGCGGCCTGTCAGTCAGTTTGCATCCCTCACTGACGTATTCGCTTCATTCGACAAACCCGGATATTGCCGCCTGTTCTTGACGTAGATACCCCTGACGTGGCAAAAGGATGCATATCCGTGGACAAGAAGCAAACCCCCGCTGCTGCTATTCAGCACGTGTAAAGTCAACATTGTTAAGCAATGGCAGGCACGTAACATTTGATCAAAAAATATAGCACTAGAACACATTTTAAATGAACGTTTACAATAATTGACTAATCATTAGTCAATGCTGATGCTGATGCTAAACGACGGTCATAGCAGCACACTTTTACAAGCCAATAATTAAAAGTTAATATATGAAACTCACAGGATTTATTATCCAAGTTACACCCATGTGAGTAATCTTAAGTACTTAACTGGTCTTTTACAAGTGACATTTACAGGGGTAATAAAATATTAAATGACAGGTAACAATTGGTGCTCAGCAAGATCAGAGTCAGAATCATTATTTTATGCAAACTGTTTTTCATTTCTCTCCACATACTGTAAATAGTTTCTTACAAAAGGCAAATATACAAACATGTACAACACAAAACACTGGATGTTAGTGGATATATATAAAAAAAAAAATGTATATATATATATATATATATATATATATATAAATAAATCCACTATCAGCTCCAGTTTAGAGCTTGTTGAGCTACAGGTTGTTCTGACTACACCAGAGGACTTGCTCCGTCTGTACGTAGAGTCACCGTCCCTGTTGAGGCTGATAGCCGTTGTGTCGTCTGTGAACTTCAGGAGTTTGAAGGTTGGCTCCTCTGAGACGCAGTCCCATTTGACTGCATCTCCCACCGACCTGTTTGCCCAGTAAGCAAACTGAAGGGGGTCCTGCAGCGGACCTGGGATGATCTTCAGATGGGTCAGCACCAGCTTCTCTAAGGATTTCCTGACCACAGACGTCAGGGGGACGGCCCTGTAGTCATGTAATCCTGTGATGGAGGATGTCTTGAGGACCAGGATGATGGAGCATTTTAAGCAGGAGGGGACTTCACACAGCTCCGGTGATTGATAAATGATCAGCGCGAAGACGGGGGCCAGTTGGTCATTACAGACTTATATATATATAGATATATTTTGGTTGTTAGTATAGTACAATTGTGATGTGGTAGACTTATGTGATATTGAGATAATGCTGTTAGATCAGGAGGCAGGACAATCATTAAATATTACAACAATCTTTAATATAAACATACAGAATATGCATTTTAAGCCTTTTACAGCTAACTAGTAACTGATTCAAAAGGCCTATTAATGATAAATAATACATGTATTGCAGCTCGACAGTCACCAGTTCTTATTTCTGTGCTCTTCAGTCCCCCCTTTAGAAAGTTGCCAACAAATCGAAGCTTATAATCTCGATGAATGATAATGACAGATTTGCTACGCACCATCTAATTTTATTGCAATTATGGCGTGCAGTAGAGGAGGCCAGGGAAGGGAGGAATGTGCACTTTACGTTCCAGTGGTGTTCAAACTTGAGCAGCCTCCTCCTCGTCTTCGTCCTTCACCTGTAGAAGAAAGCCGAAGAAAACAAGAAATAGAAAAAAAGAGACTGCTTTTTTATAATCGTAGACATATATCTGATGTTAGATGAGGAAAAAATGTTCATGCATAGGTTTTTTAAAAAGCCTTGGCTGCTCTGATGTTAGATACATTTAACGTTAAACACATACATTCTGGGAGAACAAACCTGCTCCACCGATTCAACTTCGGGGACGTAAAACTGTAACATGTTCTGGATTCCACTCTTCAAGGTAACAATGGAACTGGGACAACTGGTGCAGGAGCCCTGCAGCTTCAGTTTTACAACACCGTCCTCGAATCCCCGATACACAATGTCACCTCCATCTTCCTGCACTGTTGGCCTGGGAAAAAGATCATTGATTAGTGTGGACAAAAAGGCAGAAAGCCGCAGTAACATGAAACAGATGCTGATACAGTATTAGAATGCATCTTTGCACCTTATTCGAGTATCCAGCAGTTCTTTGATCATGGCAACTACTTCATCGTCATCATCTGATGGTGCTAAATCGACAAGTGGATATATATTGGCATTCAGAAACAGTTTTACCATTTTTAGTTCTGTCTATTTCATTGTATTCTACGCACAGCTGATTGAAACCCTTACCTGTATCTGCACTGGGTGTGCTGTCCTCATTTACCACAGGAAGTCCAGAGGTAAAAAAGTCCATAATGGCAGCAAATACATCAGGCTTTATTACTCTCCATTCCATGTTTTCATCAGACTAAAAAGGTAGAGAAAATAAACTTGCTATTACGACTAATGACAACGTATGTGCATCAAGACGATATGAGTCATGTGAACTCGACCAAGTGTTACCCTTGATATGGTAATAAAGTCCGGTCCCAGGAAGACACTCTTGACTCCCTCAATCCTAAATAGCTGTCTGGAAACAACAGAAAAGATTTCAATACATTTTGAATAAAATACAAGCCTATTTGACACATAAAACCTTTGGAAAAAAAAATTAAAAATCCATGTGAGAAGTTCATCATGAACTCCTTTTCGGGACAAAACTATTTCACATGCATTTGATTACTGAATTATAAACATTGTGTTAAAGTCAAAATAGTTATTATGAAGTAAAGAAAGAATACATCAAAATAAAAGGGTTATGCTTTTAAACGGCAGCGTATTTCACACTTCTAATATTTGATTTATGCCAGCACAACCAGTATGTCAAATAATCTATTCATGCATAGTTTCACACATTTGAAGGCATTGGACTGGATAGATAAGCCTTAAGGACAGTGTCTGCCAACTCAAGGACAACCTAAGCAGCACATTCTTTGCTATTTCCTATTTTTTTTTAGTACAGATGTTGTTTTAGATCTGATTGACTGGTATACCAGGTGAAGAAAACTTACCAAACACAAATAAAACTATTAATTCTAAGCATCTAATTTTGGCGTGAGATTCTGGGAACACACCCAACATCATCATTATAATTTAAAGCTGTGCTTTCTTTTCTAATGTGTATTGAGAGGCCAGCAAACTAAATCAATGCATTGCACTTATAATGCATTGATTATATTCAAGAAATCCTATACCTGGCTAAGGGTGAGCAGTGCGCATCACGAGGGCCGGCAAAATTCATAGTCCCTGTTTCAAGAACCGTGCGACCAGGCAGAAACTTTAGGCTGTTTGGATTGGGTGTGTCTTGGGTCTGCACAAACATGGTCCTTCCTGGAAAGAGACGAAAGATAAAGATGGGAATGTAACATCAGCCACATATACTGCAGTGTTATCTCAGTTAGTGGGCTATACGGATGCTGCAGGCATACAAACCAGGAACAACCCAATGGGGATTTTGTGGCCATCTGTTTGGGACCGCTGTATTACGTGAAGGCCAGTGTAATGCGGCAGTCTGATAGCCACTGACTGCGAGACTGCTGTAATACAAAGGAGAAATTCATAAGGTCATAACAGAAGAACAATAAAACACTCTGAATGCTGAGAAAAACATAATATGCACTGCCCATGCAAGCCTGCCACGTGGCAGGAAGTAACAGATGCAAACAATTCACTAAAACTCTAGAGGAAAAACACATAACTGCTTTGAAGCAGGAGACATTATGTCCTTAAATTATACAGAGAAGTAACAAAACGTGTCTGTGTTTTAACCTATTTATTTAACTTTTTAAGCTTTTACTCTAAAGCACCTCTGTTTGGCAAAATTCAGAATGTTGTGATGTCTGGCATCAACATCCATCCAGATGTACATCATGGTATGTAAATATATAACGTTATATGGTCAGTTCACAAAGTTACCCGGTTCTTTATTTCCCAACAGAACAACTCCAAAGTAGTATTTGTGTAAACAGCTTACTACCTGCTCGCAGGACTTTGAGCGTACTTATACATTGACTCAAGGCTGTAGATTACGAACTGCTGACAAATCCCACATTTTGACTTAAAAGACTGTATTTATTTAACGTTTTATACAACGTCAATGTTGGACATGGACAGTTGTTTGAAGTGCGGCATGAATTGAATAGTCGCAACAATTGTGATAACTGACTGAGAGCTTAAGAGGTAAAACAGAACAAGACACCTTCAATACACCGTGCTGCTCAAATAAGAAACGTTATTAACGTTAATCCTCGTGCGTCACTGTAAACTAGCAAGCTAGCTAGCGGCTAACGGCGGTCGGCATCTGGTACTCGAGAGGTCGACGCATTCGTACAAGCGTTAAACAAGTCAAATGAGAGGCCGCCGATATCTCACAACCGACAGTTTGACTTACGGGCGTGAAAGCCTTGCTGTGACTCCCAACAACCTGCCCATCTGCCTGTACGTCGCCATGTTTGTTTTGGTTACCTAAGACGGAAGTTGTCTCGTCTTTCGGCGGAAGAGACGTCACGTTGTTGTATTATATTATTGTGCGTTTGCTACAGTTCACCCCCTCAAAAAAACCCAACCGTCTGCTTTAGACGAAGCACAAAAGCTCTGCTATAAACCTTCAGTGGCATTAAATATGCCATCTGGCAAAAACTTTAGGCGGAGGAGGGACTCGTCGGATGTGGAGGAGGATGAAACGACTAAAGAAGTCAGGTAAAAAACTACAACGAGATCAACATTGCTTACGTTAGCTACACGCCATGTTAGCTAATGTTGCTAACGGCTCTGTCCGTTAAAGATGCTTACTTCATACGTATTAACTGACTTTCTGTTTTAATATGTTGTGTTTATGCTGTAATTTGTATTCTTTTGTCGTTTAGGTCAAAACTGGAAGAGGCTAAAGAGCTACAGAGTTTGCGGAAACGACAGACCGGAGTCAAGTAATGTGAATGTTATACCTGTAATGCTGTTTCTCAAACGATATGTTTTAATAGACTTATGAAACATTATGCATAATTGAATAATAATGCTACCTTTTCGTTTAGTGTGACCGCTCTATTGGTTGGGGATTTACTTCCGCCAGAGGATGAAACCGATGTAAGTGACTTTTTTTGTTCTAGCATGATGTACATTCGGTTAATAATTATGTGTGTTATTTGGCTATTTGTTTAATCTATCGTTGTTAAAATTAAAAAATATATATATATATTTATAGAATGACCCTTTCAAACTAAAGACTGGAGGAGTTGTAGACATGAAGAAAGCCAAAGACAGAAATAGAGACATGTAAGTTGCACTTTGCTTTACATAGACTCTTGATTGCAAATGTATGTCATATGACAGTGTTTTGACTTCAGATTACCTCTGTAATCCACCCGCAGGACAGAAGAGGAGACGGACCTGAACCTGGGCACTTCCTTTTCTGCTGAAACGAACAGAAGAGACGAGGATGCAGACATGTGCGTTTTTTTAGTTTTTTTTTTACATTTGCGACATACAGACACCACCTCGCTGTGTTTATTCGGTCAGGTGAAACGTCCGTCCCAGTGCCCACCTCGTACAGACCGGCCAGCCCACCATTTGATTGCGTGAGCATGTATCTTCATTTTAGGCCATAAGATCAACACCTGCTTTTTGTGGTGGGTAATTTCAATTTGAAAGATTTAAGAAATCCTGCATTTAACACATCTAGAATAACGAAAGACACAACATTGACATTTATAACATCATGGACAAAGTTGTGAATACAGACTCTGTTTTTAACACACGGCGTCAGAGAAATATTTTAAAATCTAATTTCTTTCATAAATCAACCCTCACAGGATGAAATATATTGAGACGGAGCTGAAAAAGAAGAAGGGATTAGTGGAAGCCGTGGAACAGAAAGTTAAGGTGAAAAATGCAGAAGACCACCTGTATGAGCTGCCTGAAAGCATCCGAGTCAATTCTGCCAAGAAGACGGAGGAGATGTTGTCCAATCAGATGCTGAGTGGGATCCCTGAAGTCGATCTTGGCATTGAGTATGTATAAGTGATCTCAAGAGGATCCTTTGTTGGTCACATGGCAGTGATTAGCTTTCAGAAATGATACAACTCTGTTACTGACAGCCTCTTTCTGGGATTTCTTTCCCAGTGCAAAAATCAAGAACATTATTCAGACAGAGGATGCAAAAGCCAAGCTGCTGGCGGAACAAAGGAACAAGAAAAAAGACCAAGGCACATCATTTGTACCCACTAACATTGCCGTCAACTACGTCCAACACAACCGCTGTGAGTCCCTTCAATCTGTAAACCTTGGGTTTCAAATAGCGAGAGCACACCCAAAGGTAATGAAAGCTAAAATGTTGATTCAATATGCAACTGGCTTTTTTTTCAGTCTATCGTGAGGATGTAAACGCACCACAGAGGCACCAAAGACACAGAGAAGAGCCCAAAGCAAGGCCGCTGCGTGTGGGAGACACTGAAAAACCGGGCCCAGAGGGTAAGAGATGGTCTACAACAATGCACTGTTCAATAACGCTAGACTGCACAATACTAGTATGATCTGTGTTAGCATAATTGAACAATACCATATACTAGTGTACTTGTTTTAAAAAACTTTTCAGGCATTTGTAAATAGATTTAGATATTTCTTACAAATATAACATCCGTCCACTGCTCCTCTGAAACGTACAATCTGATTTATACCCTTTTTCCTCTTACTCCAGTTTCTTCACCAGCCAACTTCCGTAAGCGTCCAAACAACGAAAAGGCCACCGATGACTATCATTATGAGAAGTTTAAGAAGATGAATCGCCGATATTGAGGAGCTGGATGTTTCCGGGAATAATTTACTCAACTGTAAATCCATCTTAATAAAGCTTGAAGGCTCCACATGACCTATGAATATGAGAAGACTTGTTTTCTCTAACAACCGCTGATAAAAGGACTCCCAAGCAAGCCTAGGACTTTGTAAATATTGTACAACGTCATGTGGTTAATTAAACAGTACATCGGCTTTGTGATGGAAATTTTAAGGACAATTCAACATTGACGTAAATTGCTCAGGACTTGCTGATAGTTCAATCGAGTGATGTTTCTGCTCTGAATTGTTAGAATTGCTTTTCATTGTTTTTAGGTGTATAATGTGTTTTGCAATGTTTCAAAAAAAAAGTTTTGTAAAATTACAATATTTAAGTTGTTCTTTAATGTAAACAGTTTAAAAGCAAAATAAAAGGCAGATACAAAACATTACAACATAAATGTAACCTACATTTAATCAAAGTAACTCAATACAAAACAAAGCTGTACATTGGTCATTTACTGCAGCAAATGGTAACTAACAAAAGTGAGTGCACTTTTTGCTTAACTTTTAGTTAGTTTTATAAATGTATGCAGATTCATAAATTCAACTTTCATGCCATTTTAAATGAGGGAAATGTTCCATCTGTGTTACACAGGACATAATTAACAAAAAATACATGTGAAAGTTTTTTTAAGTACAGTTTCTGTACTTTATTCTTTTGCTATAATCCATGTTTATGCAAAAGTCGACTATTTAGTCCATTACAGTGGCAGACAATCCGATACTAATTCACAACGTGTAACAAACTAAATTTGCCAAACCACCAAGCCTCTTCAGTCCTCTTCTCTCACGGTTTCTCTATGGAAGCTGCCCCGTGTCCGTTGAGGTGGTGCTGGCCGTTTGTCTCCTGTGCAGCCGCTCCCTCCACGTCCTCTCGGTCGCCCGTCGTAGAGCTGCAGCTGCTGCCTGGCGAGGCCCAACTGTCCTGCCGGCGGTACGCCTCGTACAGCGGCAGATCAGTGCTGTCCCACTGACTGTAGCTTTGCAGAGTGGAAACCAGTAGGAGGCAAATAATCAGCGCAGCACAGAAAGAGAGGAGCAGACGAGAGCGGCAGGTCAGAATAAGCACATTCACCCACATGAAAGGCGTACAGACGACAGAAGCGTGGAGGTTACTGAGAAAGCACCGGAAACTGGATCGACACCCAAAACGGCTGCATACTGATTATACTGTAGTTCGAGCTTTCACTTATTCCCTGTTGAGTTTAAGTTCAGCAAAAAAGTGTGATTAGTTGCTGATGGAGGGGAAAGCAGAGTGAGTGCAGTGAGGAAGGACGGCCCACACCCAGCATGCTCCAAACCGGACTGAGAGACGCTTCTCAGTGCTTTCTCACAGAAAACAAGACACACTACTACAGTGTTTTGTCTGCTTTATTTCTTAATCATTCTGGATCTTCGTGATATACAAGTGCAATCACACATGGGGTCGATGTCGCCAGCATGATGACAGCTCAAGTCCCTTCCGCTTTTATGGACAGAATCATTTAAACATGATCTCCTTGCCGAGCTTTTTGCTTTTTTTGACTTCGATGGATAATTCTATCATACAGGGCATCCCTTTTACATTTAGGATTACATATGAATTATATTGAGAAAAAGATACATCCATAAATATATACTATATCCTGATAATGTTTGAGTTTTTTTCAATGTGGGATTGTCTAAAAGAGATTCCATACCAAGGTTTGTTTTGAAATCTGCCAGGTTTTCAATAGGAATCTAACAATTAATTAATACAATAATATTTGCTTTATTTTGATCAACTCTGCCTGTAACTTAAATTAAAACATTTTCGGTAGTAAACGTACAAGAAAAGGCATCCATTGCTATATTTCACCAACCTGCGTTAGTGTGCCTGACCGGTAACATCTCTAAAGCCTCTTTGATGCTGTGTAGACCAAGCGAAAGTCTTTGGTATTTATAAATAAACTTAGCAGTACATCAATGCCCTAACCGTTTTCTCTAAATTATGAAATCTATCTGAGCACCATTCCAAGCCTTTTGGCTTTCAAACTGCATAGAAATCTCAAAAGTACATTTCGATCTGTGATTGTTCAACAGCTAGATAAATGTAGACAGTTAATATTGTCCAATTGACAAATGTCGTAGCAGAAAAAAAGTCAAGGCACTTACTAATCAATAGTCACTTAGTGAGATGCTCTCCATAGCAATGACCCCAGCAAAGATCTGAGTTGATAAATACTGTCTGGTTATGTCAAAGAGATCAATTCAAGCCAAAAAATGTCTGGTTTAGATGCAGGAAGAACTAAACCCTTCCTTGAGTTCAGGGGGGAATGTTGAACGTGAGACACTACATAGTGTGGGGCGTTGCACAAGAGAGGGGAAGTGGGATGGGAGCAAGTACGCGCCTACTTGTACCTGGAGGAGTAATATTCTTCCTCTAGCTCATACAGGTCGATGGCGATCTCGTCACGGAGCGAGGTCAGTTTCTTGTCACACTCCTCCTGCAGCGACCGGAGCTGCTGGTTCTGGAGGCTGATGGCATCGTTGACCGAGGGAAAGTCGTTCAGAATCAGAAACTGCTTCAGATCGGACACCAGCTTCATCAGGGACTCACCAGCTCGCACCTGAGCCGACAAATCAGAATTGGGGAGATCAAGGCCAGAAATGAATTGTGCATTTTTGCACCATCTCGGATGTCTTGAACCCAGCAATCCTACCAGTTGGTCAGCAAGTACGAATTCACGCTGTGAAGCCAGACTTTATTCACTTCAGAAAGAAGCAAGTTCTGCCAAAGCTTAGAGGTTTTGTTTGTAGTCATGACATCCAACACAAGAGGCCTAAACAGCCCATACACACACACACACACACACACACACAATATGACTGAAGAGGCGAACTGAAAGACTAATGACGTAGTTAGTAGTACTCACGATGTTGGCCGCTCGGACGTGCATCTCGTAGTGGTCCTGCTCGGCTTGTGTTGCTCGCGCCACCTGCGTCTCTTCCTCTATCTGCAGAGAGAGAGAATATTAACGATTAATATCACGAGTATGGAGGGCAACGGTGTTGTTGAGAGAAGGGAAAGGATCGGAAGCGGGAGTGAGAACCGGATAAATGAGCTGAAGGGATTCAGCCGCTTAACGCACCTTCGCTGTTTTGATGATCTCCGTGAAGTTGTCCAGAATGGACCTGATGTCGTCTTTTAGTCTCTTGTTGTAGTTCTGTAGCAGGGACTCTTTGCTTTGAGGGAGGACTCTCTGGTTCGCCATCGCGCGCAGGAACAGGGCAACAAGGCGCGGTGTACCTGTTCACATCACGCGGACATTCCGCTAACGTTAACAGTGCGTTGTAATCAAAACAAGGGAGAAGCTAGCTCGCTAACTAGCTAGCATTACAACGTGGGTCATTTTCACAACAGAAACGAGATAAATGTGTAACGTGCGTGGTTTTATTGAATCTGCACAAATGTATAATACATATATTATAAGTTCCGTAATGGTAATCACTTATTCTTACCGCACACTTTGAAAATAATGTCGTCAAAATGTGACCCACGGCACAGCGTTTGCTCTTCTTCGCAACATTTAATGTTGGTTGACTTCCTGTGTGCGTGTGTGTGTGTGTGTGTGTGTGTGTGTTCGCCCTCGCGAAAGACGACTAACTGCCGTAGACCAATACATGTGTGTGTGTTTGTGTAATGCACGGACTGTATAGAAGACGGAATAACACGTAACCGTTTTTCCATTTTCAAGAAGATCGAGAAAGGTACTGTGTAAATAGGCAAAACATAAATTGTGTGGTATAAATAACGATGTAACGTTAATACAGTTTTAGGCTATTCTAAATTCAGTATTGTACTACTACTTGCATACATTTGCTTAAACAGATACATTTAAAGATGATAAATAACTCGGATTCATTTAATAGTTTTTTTTAATGACATACATGGTTTTTGAAGGCAGCCTCCGCAGCATAACAAGTATTTTGAGTGCTTTTTTTTGTCCAACAGTATCATAAGTTGTTGAATCGTCCAAAGATTCCCTAAACAACACTGATTGAAATACAATATACAGCTGTTACAATCAAAATACATTCTTGGGGAACTGACTGTCAGTGATTATGTGCAACCTTCATGTGAACAAGGTGGGTGGGAAAAGGGAGTATTCAGAAAAATGATTGTACATTTTGAAAGCAGAGGATTTTAAATTGCAACAAAATAACATCAATTAAACTTTGGACTGAAACAGGTTGCTTCCCCGTTCTCAAAAGTGCCACGGTGGGTACCAAAGAGTGTTCCACGATTTTACAAAGCAGAAAGAAAATTACAAATGATTTCATGATTATGGAATTAAATTAAAAAGGAATGGCATTGATCAGTCAACATGCAATTTCTCACTTACAAGATACTACTTTAACAATCCCTGACTGGAACTGTGATGCATAAGTGCTGTAGCTATTTGTGTGACTGGAGAAAAACATCTTTTTTAAGTTGCAAGTAAGGTTTTTACTTCAGTTGTTCCTTAGTGTGAAGAACAGTCATTAGGAGTTTAAAGAGACCTGCTGAAGAGCTACATTAGAGCTGAATGACAGTATGGGTGCATTAGCATACTGGAGACAGCAACAATACATTTCACAAGATTGTAGACAAGTACTTGGTGTTGAATGGGTGTGCAACAAGTGAAGTAAATGCAGCAGTTTCAGCAAGAAGGGCACAAAAAGCAAAGGAACTATTCTGATGTGTGGAAGTGTCAAAGTGTAAGGCTTCAGAGATATAAGAAAAGCAGGTGTTTTACATTTATCTAGCATGAGAATTACTATAATGTTTTTTTCTAGGCCAACATTTAAACAGTGTGTATGTTACATGGAACAAACACTTTTCATCCGACAGGACAGTGAACATGCAAAATGCAAACGAAACAAAGTTTCATGGTATATCAACAGATATTATCCATGAAATTGTCAATGCATTGATTTCCACCATCCGCCTCATAACATACTGTCATTCTTTGTTGAAAGGACTTTAAGATTGTAACGTTGTTTACAAATGTCTAGCTCCACCTAATTACAAATTTCCCTTCCAAGCTTCTGAGAAGTTACGATCGCGCAATGGAGGAATGAGGCGTCATCAGATCATAGTTTCACAGTAAAGCTCAAACACTCAGGAAATCAAACCGCAGAAGCTGCAGACAATGTACAAAGTGTGGCGTCTTACAGCTGACACAAAAAGTATCTGAGGTAAACAAAATAATCAAGCACTTGACCACCATATTGTCTTTGTGTAGATGTACGTACCAAAAGGATTAAGGAGAATGCAAAAAGATGTGACAAAGATAAAAATGAACTAGGAGTTGTTGTTTTTTTTTTACTTAGAGTATTTTAGCTTTCAAGTCTGAAAGACCTCGCACTGTCCATAATTGGAGCCAAGAATGAAATCCATGCAGGCCTGCAGTCCAGCTGCTGGTGACAGCATGCAGTTTGCATAATTCAGTGATACCCACCGCCCTGAGTGCGGAGTGTGGCTTCAGGGCTTTTCTTGCGGGGCCTTGAGGTGGAACGGTGCAGAGACGAAGGGGTCCATGGCGCTCGCCTCTGAGGTCCATGAGTGAAGATGTTCTGCGGGGGCCGACGCCGGAGCGCCGCGCCTGCTCACGTTAGCCGCCACTCGATGAGCGGCTGGGGGCTGCTGGGGCACAGGTCCCTCAAAGTGTCGGGAATATTTGGCCAGAGCTTGTGGGCGGAAAGGTTGTTGGGCAACTTCTCCCAACGCGCCTTGATCGGGGGTCACGGCGTGCACTCCGGCGGCGTGAGGACGCTGACCTCCGAGATTCTCCTTTCTTTTTCCGAAGGGAGCCTGAGAAAAAACATCAAAGGCCTGCGGAGCGGCGAGCGGGCCGCGTGGGAACGGAGCGTTGGCGAACACGTCGGCCGCTTCGTCTTGCACACTCTGAAAGGGGGCCTTCGAGAAGACGTCGGCGGCAACGCACGCCCCTTTGGCCGACTCGTGTGCCTGTTGGAAGTGATTGTGCGCAAAGGTGCTCGGAGTCGGTTGGTGGAAGGTAGCGGATGGTTGCGTCGTTGGTCCGGCGCTGCATTGCGGTGACGAGTGGAGGGCCAAGTCCGGTCCTTGCTCATCTTCATCCTCAGAGTCCAGCAGCAGCGGTCGGGAGCCGCTGAAGTCATGTGAGGCTGCGTGACTCTCCATGGCGCCCTCATCCTGCTGCTTTTCCCTATGGCCCGGTTCTTCCTCCTCCTCCTCTTCCTCATTGTCTTCATCTTCATCACTGGAGTGCACACATCCCTCATTTGCTTGAGAGTCTGCCGCCGGAGGTTCGGTCTCCTGTCCCTCTCCGAGCACAGAGTAGCCATTACTCTGCCTCTGAACATCTGAATGAGAGAGCAGACGGGGAGAAGCAGATCAGAGGTGAGCAGATCTTACAAAGTACAGCGTCAGTAGCTGGAAACTTTACCACCTGAGGTCCAGCTGATAATTCATCAACCACACTATCAAAATACACACGCGCACACACACACACACACACACTACACCAGCGATTGATCACCTGTAACCGCTGAAAAATCAATACTAACGACCCAACAGTGAGAAACCGGCACGAGACTACAACAAATACGGACACACTCTTCTCTGAACAGGTCACAACCGACAGACGAGACTGGCCGACTCGACCATTACAACATCGAACAACCTTGTTTCCACAAATTAGTGTCAGCACAGCTGCAGAAGCCTGAACCTTCCAAAACAGTGCCTCGTGTTAGTGGAAGCAGCGGCTTCGCCATTAGTTAGAATTGATTGTGTTGAGGTAGAGGGAGTCAATAGGTCTGTGGAAACAAGGACAAAGACCTTTCACAGCAACACAGAGGTAATTAGGGACAGACAGATTAGCACAGACGAGCAGAGACAGTCTTACCTCGGCAGGGTCGACAGCAGCTGTTAACTGGCAGCTCTTGGGCAGATGTTAGTTGCAGCCGTTAAAAAGGGAGTTTTTGTTTGAGGCCTTTAATTTCCTTAATCACTTTGCTGTCCTTTTAAACTGTTCACAGTCCGTTTCACATATTGTACACTTGTCTACATAATTTGATCGAGAGTAAATCAAACTGAAGAAATATCTACAGATCACTGGCCAGCGCTGATGACTCAATCAACAACTAACAGTGAGACAGCTCACGTGATCACGGAATAACAGCCATCAATGACCTGCAGTCTGTCTATCCACGGTCAAATCAGACAAAGACTACCAAATTCTAGAACTCAAAGCCCCTTTTTTCCCCCACAACAGCAGTGAACGGTGATGTGTTGCCAGGGAAGGTGAATAGGAAAGAAAACCTAGAACAGTCCTTTAAATCTCAGAGCAAAGCTTAAAAAAGGAAAACTGCACAAGTTGTCTGACTGACAAGTGAGGCTGATGGTGCTTTTACTAAGAGCTGCAAACAAGAAACATAATCTCTTAATGAATTAAAAAACACCAAAAATGGAATAATCCATTTTCAGAGACAATAACACCTGCTTGCTACTTTGCTATTCCGATTACACATAAAATAACGGGACACTTATTTTACACTCACAATAATGCGTTTTATTCATCATTTCTCATTCTAAACCGTGATTCATAAAAATAGAAGTCCACACTCCACAATGTCCCTGCTTTGGCAGCTGAACGCCTGCCAAATTAGGTCAAACATTTTGATATAAGTAATTTCTATACCTGGCGCCATATCAGCCCAACCAGCACAACAAGTACATGGTTTAACACAGCAACACAAGTTAAACTCTACGGCGAAGGCGAAAACGCTACAGGATACAGCACTGTGGTGTCTGATAAGAACATGAAGCGTTAATGTAGGATTGCATAGATTAGCCACAAAAATGCAAATGACTTAACTAAAAAAACATTCGTTGCAAAGAAAAAAAAAAAATCATAGTTGCATCAACCCATGCAAACATTACTATTGCTATCTAACGTTAGACTAACCTTCACAATACGCATTACTGGGGAAAACTCTTTATGCATAAGCGTATACGCCAGCGATGGTATTTCGGCAGAAATGTTTTCAATTTGTATGTATGTAGTTTGGTTTTCTACGGTGAAATGGGCCCTAAAGATAGATTTATGAGTATTCAATAGACCTTGCTTGGCTAGAGAAAAGCCAAAATGAAAGATATTACTCGCAATGCCAGATTAAAGATCAGACTTAAAACAACTTGAACAGGTGTTCTTCCCAATTCACGCCTTTCTTAACCCAAATAATTGAGAACAGTTGTCAGAGATGCTACAGAGATATCAGGTTACTTCCGTCATTAGCTGTTCGTTACTGCTGTCTCTCACAGTAATGTACAATAACTTACACGACCCAGTATTATGTACAGAAATGCTGTAGAGAGATATTACAATTACATGAACACATTTGTATCAATTATGACTTACAAAGCAAAACCACTAACTTAATACGTGACACAAAGGGGGAGAAAGCACAGAGGGACTCTGGACAGAGGAGCGAGGCAACATCTTCGCAAACTACAGCTTCATTACACAAATATTTTTTTTAATCTATATATCCTCGTAAATTTTACATATTTGACAACGGTCGTCAGTTCATACATTCATTCTAAAAGGTCCTTAAATAACAGCCACATTTATTCATACGATAATAGAGACAATGCCTTTAAATATTACACACAAAAAAGTCCACTTTTACCAATGCTGACAAGAGAAAACACTAACTGTGATTTTATGTACATGTAAATGATTTAGTCTCTTCTGGCTAAAATGAACGACGCGTTGGCCAAATGACCTCAGCGACCGTGGAAAGGGTAGCGTGGATAGGCAAGGGGGAGGTCTGTTCTCTCTGACCTTTGTATAAAACTCATTTGTTAGCACAAATAGCTCAATGACATCCACGTTGTACCTCGGTATCCGCTTCTCAAAGTCTGCTCATTCTTACTGACCCCCAGCGTGGGCTGACGCATAACGAACACCAGAATTATGAAATAGTTCCTTTAGCTTTGGTATGGCTGCAGGGCAAATGATCGGATTCCCTTTTGTTTTGGCTGTGCGATCTTTACAATGGGTCAAGTATACCATGGCCAGTTTATGACCTTACATGTAATGGAATTATTAAAAGAAAAACTAGAGTCAACTAAATCCTAAAAAAGGTTTCTATAATTGCAATGGAGCTTGATTTATCAGCCATATTAATGCGGACTACCCCCGATTCAGGTGTAATTTTAGGGGAAAAGATTCCCTGCTTAACATCCCATTCGGGGATTTGCTGAAGCTGCAGTTGTGAATATATGTGCTAAGTTAGCTTCAATAAATAGCAGTGGATTTCTGATCTATATTGGAATTCTAGCAGAGAAAGGCTAAGATGGTACAGACTCTCCTCAGAGCCTCCAACAGTAAACCACAACATAGGAATGTGTAAAGACGGCCCAAAGGTCTCCAGCATTACCTCCTCGCTCCTCAGTCTGACCCCTGACACAAATGAGCATGCCTGAAGGTGGCTTGTTTAATAAAGCTTCAGCCTTAAACAAGCACAGTGTGCGGCTGTGATCAAGCAGTCTAGCGTGTGCTCGTGATCAGCCACCATGGCACCGTGCACTCAATGAGGGAAGTTAATGCGAATATGAGCAAAGCATGAGGAAGACCATGGTGTAGCTGGGAGAGAAGCAAGAGATATGCTCGGGCATTAATGAAAAGGTGTTTTTACAGCGTGGGAATGTCAGCCGCCAGCCGGGATACAATAAGCCAGCTTATCAGGCAACTAGAGATGGAATCGAGGCCAAGGAGGCACATGAAGAGAGAGGTTCCACCAAACAGATCTATGCTGACTCCTCGGTTCTCATAAGGTGCTACGCCAAGTGTCCCAGCTTCCCCAACTACATCCCCTACCCTCCTCCCATCCCTCAGTTAGGATTGCACACTGCCCCTTCGACCTCTCCCACCCCCTCTAGAGGTCGATGAGCTGATCCACCAGCAGAAGGGATCGGGCCAAGTTGGGGAGGCTGGACTCTGAACTGCCACTGTTGCTGGGAGAGTGGCCACCTGAAACGTGCCAGAAAGAGAAAGAGAAAGAGAAAGAGAGAGAGAGAGAGAGAGAGAGAGAGAGAGAGAGAGACAGATGGACATGGAAGGAGAGCCGAGAGAGATTGTGGAAAAACAAGCAAAAGAATAAGTAATGTTAACAGAGATGGAATGTTGAAATCAAGAGCGGGGAGTTTATGGGAGGGAAAATGATGGCAGAGCAGAGAAACGCATGGAGGGAGCAAATGGCAGGAGGGGGCAGAAGGAGAAAGAAAAACAGGCATAGAGTGAGCTGGCGTAATCTTTATACAGCGGCATCATTACAGGGGGAGAGTAAGGGAATGCCATCCTAACATGGGGAGGCCTTCAAGATAAACTACAAAAAGCCTTGAACACCTGCAAGGCAGATAATCACTGGCAGTATAACATTAGAAACAGAGAGGAGGAAGACGACGATGTGGATAAAAAGCCTTCATGTGATAGCACATCCATACAAGACTTCACATCAGCAGTCACACTTGTGGAACTGAATTATGCTAAATGCTAAGGCATTTCTCTTTCTGGCTCATAGCCTGGGCTTCTGCAGTTTGGAGTGCTCATCTTGGGATTCTGTTAACCTTACCTTGGTTTGAGTTTTTGGAGATGAGCACAGGAATAGGGTCAAACTCGTCTCCGTTGCCCTTCTCCCCACACGACATGAGGAAAGCAGAGTCTGCGGTGAAGGTAGAGGGAGTGAAGGATGGAGGGGGAAAAGAAGTTAAAGGAAGCCAAAGGAAAGAGCAAAAAGAAAGTAGGATGCAAGTAGGTTAAGAATAGATGGCGGCAGGGCAGATGCAGCTTTTAAAATCTGTGCATTTCAGGTGGCTTTTCGCTCCTCTGCAAATAAGTCAAGGGTCTGGGAGGTTCTCATGTGCCTGATTCAATCTCCCTTCCCTATTTGAACAGGTCGTCCTGTTGTTGGGAGAATCTTTAGCTTGTGATGGGCGCAGAGATAAGGCTAATGGAGACCTTACCAGAAGCCACCTGACCAGGCAGCAGCTCCTCCAGACAAGATCCAGAGCTGCAGCCGGGGTGAGCAGAGGAGCAGGAGGAGGAAGGCAGAGCAGAAACAGACTGGTTTGCAGGAGGACAAGTATGAGACAGAAGGTCGCAACCCAGCAACGAGTCCTCCCCTGTGAGGGAGTCTGAGCAAGGATGAAACAAAGGCAAAAGAGAAAAAGGGGTCATAGTAAAAATAGGGTTGTTAGTTAAAGTTACAGAGGGAAATGCATTTTGTAAGTGAGGCTGTGTCTAATCTCTGGAGGCATAACATCAGAAGCAGAGAAGAGAGTCAGTGGGGAAATGGCATAAAAATACACTGCTAAGTCCGGGGCAGGAACAACACTTTAACACGTGGCTATGGCTGATAATAAAATAAATCTGTAAATTATTGTCATTGAATAGGTCACTTAACACCCTAGAAACCCTCTGTGATGGAACTGTTCCACTCACTGGAGTAAGCAGCTATTTGTTGTTGCAGGGTTTTAGCTTTGCGAGCGTGAGCTGACACAGCAGTGCCGGTCATTGACAAAAAAGGCTTTCTACTCCTAAAAATAGAAATACTGCAGTTGAAACAGAATATATATATCCACAACTAAAAATCCACACCCCTTTCTGCCTTCACTACATGGAGACAACGAGTGGAAAAGACAGTAGGTGAGATAGATCTAGGAGAGAATAATGCAAGAGAAAATAAGATGGCCTTAGAAGCTACGAAAAAACCCTAGTGGGTTTTTGTGACTTCACGATCATGTGAGAGAAAGAGGAGAAGGAAGGCGAGGAAGACTCATGTGGAGCAGATGGGATTTAAGAGCGAGGCAGGGGACAAATAACGGCGCTAGTACCGTTGATGGAGCTCTCTGCGGCAGTACCGAAGGGGTTGGCCAGGGTTAAGAGGTCAGGGAGCAGCAGAGAAGGTTCAGGGGACTTCAGTCCCTTAATCAGCTTCTCTGTGAGCCAGCCAGACAGGAGAGACGAAGAGACGTAATGGACAGTTAGCAAGAGAGAGAAAATGGCAACGTGGGAGGACTTTGTAGACCAACAAAAGAAGGAGCAAATAGACTTGATTTCAGTTTACAAAAAAGTATGATATTATTATCATCAGGTTGGCCGCATGGCATATATAATGTTAGGGGCAAAACATGTTCAGGTGATAAGAAAAACATATGTAAGGAAGATGACTTGCAATCAGGCTGCTTGCATGAATACCAAAGACCAATAATACGATCAGATTATTTGTTAGTTTATTTATTATTATTATTATTTAGTGCAAACGCAACAGCCAGGCGAGAGAAATCCCATGCAAAGGACAAAACTAACCAGTTGGAATTATGGTACCAAAAAACTGCCATGCCGTGGCACTGTCCACACAGCAACCCGCCAAACTCATTTACATATTATATTATTAAAACAATTAGAGACTCGATTAAGCTCAAATAGACAAATTACCAGCTTTTCACTGCAGCTTGTACTTACAGAGGAAACTGCTATGGGGCAATGTGGGGTGAGGTGGGGGGGGATCAAGGAATGTGTGTTGGCTCAGAAAATGGCACAGCAGATATGATCTTTTTCTCCCTTCACTATTGGAAAGAGGCCAGCACTGATTAAAGGCTTTTTACAAATCCTAACATATTCCATTTAAAGTCAATGAAACCAATAGACAACATGTGTAATGTTAGAAATGTCGAACAGTATCTTATATTTTTTAATTTTGCTCCAAAGAGGCATTTATCCAGTCTCTGCTTGTCTAGGCTGGATAGAGACGATTAACCACACCCTGACTATGTTGACCCAACTTTTATGTTCTCTCCGTTCTGGCCCTCAACAGAAACTACACAAAGGAGGTCATACAGCTACAAAGTCGCCACCACTTCCAAAACAGTAGAGGCTAAACTGAGACGAACATAAAGGGCTGGGTCATCATTTTAACAAGACAGCAAGCTCAACTTCCTCTAGTTCTTTGTGGTACTGGTGAGCAGGCTCCTCCGGCAGTAAGGCAATCCAATTAACAAAGGAGAATTTGTCCTTGGCGTTACCGGGCAACAGCGAAAGCACAGATCCGCAAACGAGATGGGATCTAGCTGCAGCTATGGCCTCTATTCATGGCAGCTGACAAGGAGCCACTGTGAGCCGCCTGCTTGGTCAACACGATAGGGCCGTGTACAAAAACAAACCACTAAAGCTCATAAACTGACCCCGGAGAAGTGTGTTTTCCAGGAAACTACTTTTGTAAATAAAATGGTGACTCATAACCTGATGAGAATATATTTGCTCAAGTCTGAGATTCTGAGGGGATTAAACACACGGCTCTTTCTGTGACTCGAAAATTACCTGTGGTGTCTGAGAGGGAGAGGCTATTAAGAGGGTCCGGGGCAGTCAACAACGCTGGACCTGCAGTGAGGATGTCTGCAGATCTTTCAGCTTAACGTTATACAGTGAAAAAAAGATGGAGAAGAGAAAAAGTGAGGGAATTTGAAAGCATGTATAACAGAGAAGACTAAGGGATGGACAACACATACGCTTACTTTTATGGCAACTCTAGACATTTGCCAAGACAGCAAAACATAAAACGAGGTCGTAATCCAACAAGTGGTTGAATTCCAACCCTAAGAAAAGCCTGCGAAAGTATGCAAACATTACGATAATCACGCAAAGACTTACCTGGAAAAGCAATGAGCCCTGGAATGAGATTTTCAATGGAGCCCGTAGTCTTCTCTGCTGCTGCAGCAGCTGTGCACAAGCACACAGCAAAAGGTGCAATTTCCTTTAGATCACTAAAATCTGCCGATGCCGCAGGTGTTCACTGCACAGCGATGACGTTGCACTTACCCTCAGCCAGCTTGGCAAAGTCTTTGTTAAGGAGCTCCTCTGCTGTTAGTTTGGAGAAGTTATCATCCCCAAAGGGGTTCCAGCTCGGCTGAGTGTCGGGCGCAGCAGGAGCTGCCGGGGCGTCAGCGCCACCCGCATGATACACACTCTGCTGGGACGAGCAAGGGGAGCCGGATGGAGTGGTGCTGGCTGATCTGCAGTGCACAGAGGTGGAAACAAAAACTCTGTTAAGAGTGCACAGTAAAGTTTGATCATGGATGTCAGGTCTGTGGACACTGGCCTTCTGATGTATGCAAATAAGTGAGTTATTTAAAGACCGAATTGAGTGACTCTTCTTACTCCGGATTCCCCGGGAGGTAAAAGGCTTGTTTATTCCCCCCTCGGGGGGTTCATTCATATGAATGGGCTTCCTGTCGCCCCTCTCGGATCCGTGCCATAAGAGCACAGTTCATCCTCAGATCACGGGAGGGAGTGAATTCTGCTCACTTGGACTTGTTGAGGCTAGCCTCAGCTGCGGCAGCCTGGAGAAGCTGGGTGGACTTGCTGACTGGAACCCCGAACACGGCGCTGTGCGTGACGTCGCTCAGTATGCGCCTGTGACCGCTTTTGGGCGCCATCTTTGGCGACGAGGGAGGCGTCAATGACCCGACTCTGTGAGTCACATGACCAGCCTTCTACAGCGAGGACAAAAAGATACAGAGGAGAACCAATTAGATGAAAATGTAAGTGACGCCAACAGGAAGAAATTCTTTTTCTTCAAAGTACAACAGGAAAATCCCCAAACACACAATAAACAAGCAAGCAAGTTTCACCAGAAAGCAAAATCTGAAAGAAAAGAATGATTAAAAATTCCCCAAAAACCACAAGGAAAGAGAGATAACCTGTTATGGAAAACAAGAAAGTTTGTACAGAAACAGGTGCACCTGATAGATAATGGTAACAGAAGGAAACTGAAGAAGGTCATTATAACAGTTAAAAGAAGCAGTAAAGCAACACTAAGTTATTTGTTTATCACTTATTATACTTAAATGCCAAAAGGAAATTTTTCTAAGATGGCATTCAGGTTAGCAGATACGCCTACATGCCAATTACAGTCGCATTTAATATTTTCTGTGACACCATTCTTGCCTTCCATCTGCCCCGGAAGAGAAAAATTACAAATTTTGATGTGATTGGTTAGAGACAAGCTGCTAATCAACTGCGAGACCCAAAAGAGCAGCCAGACGCAAATAAGAGTAGGATGTTACCACGACCTCTGGGTCAGCCGCAGGGACGACTGCAGACTCAGGAATGGGGGTCAGATGAGAAGCTGCAGTTTCATGGACAGCGGCTATATGCTGCTGGTGTTGCAAGGTAATAACTGGAGGAACAGGTTTATGTTTGGACGGCAGCACGCTACACGCCTGAGGCGCTTTTTGTATTTGCTGCTGCTGGACGAGGCTCTGAACCAGTTGATGCTACATAGGAATACCAAACAGCGAAAAAAAGAAGAAGGCCCCGCTTGTCATCACTTACAGCTCTTTGGCAGTGCAGCAGCCTTTAAAAAAATACTTTTCAGGATTTGTTATTAACTTTTCAAACAGTATTAAAACTGTATATCAAGTTGCAACCAAAGACAGAAGAGAAGGGATGAGAAGGTAATCTTTACATTTCTTACTTTAATTTATCCAATAATATTTGTATTCCTAAAATCTGTGTCCGTATGTCAAAGATTAAAACCTGGAGGACTGGTATCGCATTTTGTGTTACTGCATCAGGGGTGGGATTTAAAACAGCAGTAAGTAACTGATAATCCAAAGTGTTTCTCTATTGGGGTGTATCACAGCCAAGCCAGTACCCCCTGTTTGCAAATGGTCCCACACACCATACAAGCCTTTTCAACTGGGACAACTCGTCTGGAAACAGGGATTACTGATGTACTCTGCCTGTAAATCTTTTTTTTTTTTTAAATGACATCTAAAATAACTCAAAATAGTCTTTGTCATTGTCACACAGCTTTCCCTCAGTAACCCTGTGAGGAGTTCAAACAACCAATGTGGCTAAGAAGTGTTGCCATTCCCATTTCAGCACGATGTCTACCTGCTGGTTGCTCTGTGGGCTTAAGAAGGCTGCGGCTTGCTGCTGCTGCTGCTGCTGCTGCTGCTTCATGAGGAGCTGCTGATGTTGCAGTGTGGCCTGTTGCTGCATGTTGGCGGTCTGAGCTGATGACGCTGCAGCCTGTGCAACAGGAGCCTGTTGGACCGCTTGGACAGCAGCTGGGACATTGATGCCAACACCTGGAAAGGAGAAGAAGAAGAACGAGGTCAACATAGACCTCATCATTTACCACATCAAGAGCATATTTTTAATATGCTGTGTTGTGGTGTTTTACCCTGTTGGATTATACATCGTTGTTATAAAGTTATAACCATGACTCAATCTCAACACAGGTAAGAGCAGATGTGGCTATTCATTCCATAAGGAAATTACCAAAAATACCTCCCAGCTCTACATTACAGTTAAATCCATGAGCGGTTAACCGTGCTGAGTTCACTACGAGTTAACGGTCTTCATAAACGTGTCACAGAGCTTCTCATACCTATTGCCTGTGGTGTACCCGCATTGGGTCTCTTGCGTGGGGTGAGAGCGGACTGGATGGGAAGAATGCCCGATATCGGCTGGGGCTGAGCCTGGCCAGCCTTCGGTCGTTGCCGAGGTGCAATCGAGGTTTCCAAGGTTGGAACGGGGTCTGTGATCCTGATGGAAAGAAAAGAGAAAATTAACTAGAGACGTAAGTGGTTTCATACAATGATGGAAACTCAAATGCTTTACTTTCACTCACCTGGCTTTGGTTTGACTCTTTTTGGCCACTGCTTCACTGGCTCGGACAGGCTCGGGGAGTTTTGCAGGAATAGGTGAATTCTACAACAAAGAGGATTTGTGGGGGGGTTTTTGATCAAAGATAAATAAACCAAAGAGCTTAATAGCTTAACAGTGCTGTATTGATAAAACAGTTTTAGTGTCTTAAGTGCCTATACTCTAGTATTGATTCCCAGCTAAAAGGGCAAGGTCAGGAATTAGGTTGACACAAAAGACCAATTGCTGAGCTATTTTGTAAATACATTAGAAAAAAAATAAAAATAAAGAATGGAGAGCAGCAAAAGCTTTAAAGTTAACATCCCTCAAATATTATGAATTACTTCACTTAGAAAAACCACAGAAACTACTGAACGTGAGACGCATAAAAAGAAAACCCGCCGAGTAGTCAATATTTAACCCCAACCCTACAGCATAGTCTAATCTCGAATTCCGGCCATTCCTCTTGTCATGGGGACTTACGTGTTCATTTGGGACTGGACACTCTCGTCGAGCCAGTTTAAAGGCAAAGTGGGATATTTGGTAGATGTCTGGTCTCTTTTCTGGGTCAGGTTCCAGCATGTACCCTGAGAAGTAAACAAACAATTAGAAGTCAAACGTATGAAAATACACCCTCTAATTCCCACACATATCTAGAGCACATGCTGCAAGTAGGGCAGAGTGAATATTCTGAGGAACCAGGTTACTCACTGATCAGACAGTGCATGTCGTGGGAGTAGCGGGAATTGTCTGGGATTGTGAAACTTCCATCACAAATAGCCACTTGGCTCTCCCCAAAAGGAAGCGTGAAGTAGCACAGTTTGTAGAGTAGACAACCCATGGCCTGCACAGAAAAGAGAATCAACACTTTTCATGTAAATGTGAGTCTGTGTCTATCGTGTTAGCTCTTACTGATGCACATGTGATACAATCACGGTGAAGAACATGATCACATAAGCAGCTAATGAACACAGTCCTTCTCACCCAAATATCTGCCTTTGTTGTGATAATCATTCCGGCGTAGAGGTTGACCATTTCTGGAGCGCGGTATGACAGAGTAGTGTACCTGTTTTTCAGAGCAGACCAATGAGCTCTTGAATTTTAATAAAATAAAAGATTGAAGGTGGAAAAGGCCCAGAAGACTCACTTTTTGATTTCTTCCTCCACAACTGCGACGCCCTCTGTCTGAGGGTTTTGAAAGCAGTTGGTGGCACTTCCAAAATCACAGAGCACGTAGTGTCCCCGGTCGTGTAGAAGAATGTTTTCCACCTACGTGAGAAGACAAGATAAGACCTGTCAGAAGTCATAGTGAATGTTACAATTAATCGCTTCCAAATAATTAAGAGGGGCCATCAATAAGCTAGAAGTATGCAGTGAGTAGTTTATTGAGAAATAAATCAGACGTGCCTTGAGATCGCGATGGACTATTGGAGCCGGGCCCTGGTGGAGGCGAGCGACTGCTTCACACGTGTCACAAAAGATCTGTAACACCTCGGCTTCAGTGAAGCCTGTTTGCAACCGCTGGTTCATTAGGTTGACCACCTGCCCGCCTGCCAAAAAGAAGTAAGTCAACAACGAGCGAGTCAATGCTATCCATTTAATAAACAACAAAGGGAACTCATTCTATCATTTTTTTTCTGTGAAAAATGCTATAACTTAATTTGTAAATTGATGGATATAACAAGGACTACGTCTCTATTTCCACAATAAATACAAAAGCTTATTTATCTTATCAGGTTCGATACAAGACAGCCAATGTGATACAATGTAGAACTGCATAATGCTTTGATTTAAACAGGGAAACAAACAATCATTTGAAAATAATATTAACATTTAAAAAACAAACATATATATACTGTATTACAATTAGTGCTTGTATAAACCGAAAAGTTTGAATGTTATCCATTTTAGACTACAAGCATCCTACAATCAAAGCATAAGATGGCTTCAACAACTATGTACGGATGTTAAAATTGTAACTTTCTATAAATTGCACCACCACCCAGAAACTGCATGTATTCTGTGAAACAGTATATCTGTTCCCCACAACAACTGCGTATTGAATAGTTTCCTTTGAACAGGATGCTGTGAAAAGGGCAACAGCGCTTTGGATTCAATAAAGTCATCAACGGGAGGTGGACCCATTTACCTCGACAGAAGTCCATTAAGATTAGGACTTCCCACACATCGCCAGCTCCAACTGCAGATATACTGGAGTCCAGGAAACCAACTATGTTTTTGTTCCCCACTAGGTCCCTCTGTGTAAACAAACACAGAAAAAGCAACAATGATTGAAAACATTTGGGTGAGTAAATGAAAAGAATACAGCTACACATAACTATTCAATCCATTTCTAATAGTTGAGTTTGATGGTCTGCCAGGTCACAGTGTCATGCTGATAACCATCCAGCAGCAGTCAGGCCACCCAGGGCGTGGCTGCAGGAAACTGGTCAGTGTTACTTTCAGTAGGGACTCCATCCAGGAAATGGACACGCAAGGCAGCTTAGATAACATTAATTACAAACCAACCCTTGTTACTAGCACTATTCCTGTGTCAAAAAGTATATTCTGATTTGTGCTTAAATGACATAGAGCTCTAAGTATTCATGGCTGGCCACATTCAGACCAAGAGGCTTAGAAAATCAGAACATTTCAATTGTGGATTTATTTGTATGCAACTAAATGTTTTGATGCTGTTAATTCCAGGGCAGGTTAACGTTACCAACCAATAACAGAATCCACTCTTACATGACCATCTCCTGTAAAAACACAAGGTGTGTAACGTACTTTCCGCTATCAGCAGTCCGTTTCTGGACCGTTGGACTTACCATTATCTGTATCTCAAGCTGGCAGACTTGTAAATCATGTTCATCGTTGACATACATCCTTTTCAGCGCACAACGTACACCTTGATGAGTCCGTACCAAAAACACGATGGCAAAACCTCCTAGAAATGACACACACATTTCATAAGCACAATCAAAATAAATATTAATATAGAATTAGTCAAATACATCCTGTTGTATTGCTTATTAAAAGGTGGGGGGGCAACAATTTCATAATCGTTTTGAGTGATATTCCAAATTGGTTAATTTCATTTTAGACTGCAGTCCCTGTCAGATGCTCTGTAGTTTCCGATCACTGTAACCAAGAAACACTCCTGAACAAGTAATGTCAAGCAAACAGCAAATCACTTCTCAGAATACAGGAAGTGAGACAAATCATGAGACAGTCATCCAAACCTTTGGTGGCAGTGATGCATTTGCAATGGGGAAAACCACAAGATTGAGATTTGCAGCAACTCAATCCACCAGCAATCACACAGCTGACCAAAGCATATTAAATCCTAAAACCGATATAAAGAAAAATAACCAGCCAATTGTAAGTCTGAGGCAATATACAAAGAGAGCTTTATCTTCACTGACTTCTAGATATGAGCATGTTCTGGATTACAGATTTATAGATATCAACAGGCCTCGGCTTGCATCTAGTCCCTCTCTAGATGTTGTGTTGACAGCGTGTAGCAGCTTCCACTGTTGTGTTCACAGATTGTATTGCAGACTCGTCCAGCCTGCATCACTAAGCTGAGGGAAACTCCATGTGACTGGTTTGCGCTGCGTGTGTCAGAGTTCAGCCGGTTGAATCCCCGCTGTCTCGCGCAGTCTAATCTGAGATGACTGACTGTAAGAAATTAGAAGGATTAGCATCTTTTTTTAAGCAACATGTTTAGCAGCGGTCCACAAACTCAGTAGGCAGAGAGAGCAAATAATTGTAAGCACGGCCACAAATAGGCTGGCCACTTTCTTGACGTAACCGACTTTCAGGATTATACCACTCCAGCCTGTGCATACTAAGAAAGAATACACCTTTAGGCACTGCAGCGAGGAAATGCTGGAAAAAATATTAATTTGCAATTTGTCATCAATTTGTAACGAAAATTTTAATACCATTTAGGCATTAGACTACTGCACATCCTTATAAAAAATTACCATAGACTAGAAGCCCTTATTTAAAGAAAGATTTATCTGAAAAGATGGGATGCATTTGGGTTCACAAATGAGGGAATGGCCGACTGAACTCAATGTTGTGTAGTTCGATAGCAGCAACTGGGACACATTCATCCAATTCAATGTGTTACATCACTAGAATAGGGCTAATACTGAAAGAAATAATTATATATACAGACAAGACTTATTTTTGATAGTAACGACAAAAAGATGCGTCGTTGACAAACCTCAGATGATGAGTTGATCAACGTCTAAAATACAAAACTGCCATCACGACACGACTTCAAACAAACCTTTTGGTCTCAAGCGAATAGCTTGTGCGTCCCTCAGCCTGCGTAGGTCTGTTTAGTGTGAAAAGTGTCTTTGTTTTTAAGCTAAAGGCAACTAAGGGAGTAGATGCAATAAAATATAATAAATAAATGAAATGAATATATACTTATAAATAAGCAGTTGACTAAAACCGAAACCACCTCAATACGTAGGCTGACTGACACTGGAGTGAATCACATGGCTAGCAGAAGAGATTCATTCTGGGAGAAAAATTAACTTTCACCGAGTGTGTAATATACTGTAATATAATATTATGTAATGTAATATAATGTTCTGTATAGTGCCTCACTCAAATAAATGTCTGCAATAATAAAGACCCAGGTTTTTCTACAAAGCCGATTAGATTAAAACTGTTTCACACCAGGAACGGTTTCCACCGACACCTCAGTGCAGGGTAGGACTGCAGCTAGCAGTCTAACCCCTTCATAAGCTGCGGTGCGGCCAACCAGATGGGGCAAGTCTATAGTCCTGATGAATTAATCAGTCTTCTTTCATCTATTATTTAGTAACACACACTCTTAGCTAACAGAGCACAGTGGCAGGTTCTCATTACAAAGACAAATGACCATGGAAACCTTTTAGCCTTATTAAGAAACCTGTTTAACGCGTACAGAGTAAGACTATTTGCCAACAAAACGTGTCCCACCCTTTAATTGAATGATGTAGAATCACCAACAGCTAAGCAACCTGCAAGGTTGCATTAACATGCCCAGATCCCAAGGAAATGTGTTATGAAAATACCGCCGTGTCACAAAGTCAGGGTTCAGGTGGAACGTCCTGATCCTTTTCCCTCTTTGTAAATCAACAATCAAAACTTTGGAAAACTACATTTATGACTCGTCACTCCCTCTGTAAATATCGAGACAGATGACTCAGCACGGCGGCGGTTCTTTACGACAAGACACAGCAGAAAATCCAGTTATGAAATAGTTCTCCCAGCCTTCAGGTAAAGAGTGCGGTTATGCAAAGAGAAGACAATCTGAATAACTGACAACTGTGTACACACCCTATATTACAAAAGAATGTTCTGCTTTTAAATGTATTATTCTAACTCTAGTGACAGGACACAGAAAAAAAACAAGCTCAGGATTGGAGCAAGTTAATGTACATCAAGCTGCCTCAGGTGGTGACAGTTGATACAGTGACCGTACAGCCTTGTTCCAAAGGCATCTCCATCAGTGTCATATAGTGAAGGTGTGTGGGGGGGTCGTTGGCACTCTAGCTGGGCCGTAGACCAAGAAAAACAAGGCCACCTATTTATTTAACTAATGATCCTTGATCCGTACAACAATGTACAGGTCGAACTGTGGATACACACAACGTGTGTTTGAGTCACACGCTTCGATCCACTCCACAGAAAGCCACGCAGTTTACCTTCGGCGACGATTTCCTCGACGGTCACTTGATATCGTCCAATGGTGAAGACCCGTCCGATGAAGCTGCCACCGCCGCCGGAACCACCGCCTCCTCCTCCACCTACTCCGGAGCCAGGCCCGGAACCCACCAGCTCCCGGCGAGAGTCGAAAAATTTCTTCATTTCTCCTCCCCGACGTTAAACAAAGCACGGTCGAGTCCAGGAAAAGTGTCGGAACAATAATCGGGTTTGGATACAACAGGTCCCCGGTCGTTCTGTAGTTGAGGTGCTGGTGTCGAGGGCTCAGCAGTTGTTCCGACGATTGAATGAATGCCGTCGGCTAGCGTCAAAGCTAAATGCTCGCTACCTAGCTGGACCTCAAACTATTCCACACACTGCGGTGCGACGCGCCTTAGCTAACTCATGGTTCGAACAGCAGGCAGAGTCTGTACTCGTTTAGAAAACACTAAAACTGAACGTCCAAGCGGAAGTCACCGCTTCCACACTCCGAACCGAGAGCGGCTCTGGCGGCTAATTTAGCCAAGGCAACAAGCCCGAGAAAACACTTGTTAGCAGTTAGCTCACCAAGCTAGTTAGCTAAGCAGCTAGGTGCGGTGACAGCTGTCAGTTGATAGGCTGGCTGCCAGGTTGGTCCTCAGTGTCCAATGCAGCTTGTTATACATCTCCACCGGTATCATTCACCCGAAATGTTACTTATTTCGCTGCTTCACTCGTCTGTGTTGCAGTAAACGTGACGGATCTCCTCTGCTTTTGTGCGTCCAGCAGGCGTTGTGAAGTGCCTTAATGACAGAGCTAACGTAGCTACAAACAGAGTGGATGCTAACAGGGAGAGTCCTCTCTGCGGACTCCGTCCTCCTGGACTCCTCGCGATGTGATTGGTCGGATGAACGTCGACTTCCTCCCAGTCGATACGAGTCCCTTGTCCCTTGGCTGTGGTCCCCTATGATTTTTAAATTTTTTTAAAAGGCCCCTCACTTCAAAAGTAACAACTTGACCCGCTCTGACTTGACTAGGTATATTTTAGCAATGCAATAGTTTTGAAGGGTAGAAATGTTTATTATGTATAACAATGGCAACTAGGAGCTAATTTGTATTGATTGTTTAAAAACAATTGACATAATCTGCTCAAATGTAGGCATTCAAAGAAATTAACACAATAACTTGCAGTTGTCTTACATCTTTGTTTCAAAAATAGTACTATAAATAGTGCTACGGTCACGTTTCAAAAACTCAGACAAAGTACAATAACTACTTGTGCTACAACTGCAGTACAAGATGAAGACAGAAGGCGAGACCCTCCGCGGCTGTCGTTGGGAGAACTGAACCTATTTCAAGGGACATGAAAGGGAGATGGGTGGATGAGTGATGTGGCTGAACATTTTAGTGTCAGAGGATAATGTACATAGTTACAATACATTGTCTATACACTTTAAAATGTGTCTTCACAATATCTGGATGTATCTTTAATCTAAATAATACGGTTGTCAAAACTTTTAAAAGACAATAATATTTGGTTAGTTTTGCAGCTAATGTCAAACTTTTCAGAATGTTACATATACAGCCTATCGGGAATTAATACAATATATCTGATCCAAAACCCGGAAGATGTTTCCTTTTGTTTTTTTGTTTTTTTCTCTCATAGACCGTAGAGAACACTGAACATCCTTTACTTTATGTTACTAAATTGAGTCTTCTTCTCCTTCTCCTGCAGGGGTCCCTGTTTCATCACTAAATATTATGTCCCAGACCCCGTTTTGTTTATACTCTCCACATTTCGACCAACTCTCCAAAGCTTGATAATAATAGCACCCTTATACATTCCTATTCTTAAAGGGAGGGTTGTATTAGTGTACGTTTGTGTTTTTTGTGGAGATGTAATAGGATTTGAAAAAACTAAACTAAATTGTGTTCCTTTAAGAATCTTTTTATTAATTGCTAGATGGGTAAAATTCCACAGGATTCACGTTTCTTATTCATTCCCACCAGTGTCACCTAAAGTGTTTTCAACTTGGATGATTAAACAAACACCAATCAAACTACTCTAAGTGGTTTACGTAGTTAAAGTATCATTAACAAACATTACTGTGTTGATTAATATTATGATGTCATATTTCTCTTTGACAATGTATTTATGTATAATTATTTGTTAGAGGACATTCATTCTAGCACAGCTAATACTTTGGACTCAATGTAGTCACACTTTATAAAATGTTGGCACATACTAAAAAAAAAATAATTGAACCATTAAGCTATTTAAGCAACAGAGTTGTTATTGCTCTATTGATAAATGTGACGGCTCTGGTGCATTCTTTCCTCTGAGTTCATCTACAATACGCTGGAACTCTGCCGACCCAAAAGCTAACGGTAAACATTCTTTGTTCTCATTTTGTGTGGTCCCCTGAGAACCAAAACATCATCACAATTTGGTGTTCGGATTGAAAGGGTGGTCTAAAAAAAGCAAGTTCTATATATGCAAACCAGGAAGTCTTCCAATGGTGCCTGTGCGAACTGAGTGGAAGTTGAAGTTACATCGTTAAATGAAGTTGGGTCTGTCGCTTTTATTAATGTCATACTAACTGTGATATTAAACCATGGGTGTGGGTCTTAGTGGTCACATAAAAAAAGCCTCTGCTGCCTGAAATATAGATAATTTTTAGAAATAATAAGGTATCCAAATCTCACCAAAATATTTATTTTTAGTAGAGGTTAAGTACGGTAAGCGTGAAAGTAAGTTATACAAATATCAGGAAAAGATTGTTCTCTTTTGTCAAACTGGTAAAAGACTTTGTCGTTCCTCATCAATAGAGACCAGTGAGCTGCTTGTATTAAAAGAAAAGTATAAAAAAAATATGCAGAATACAAAACCATCAACACTAAGTGTCATTAACACTTGGTTTGGTCCATCTGTATCCTTAGAATTTTCCAAAAAGTATGACTCAATTCAGCTTCCATCAGAATCCCAGTACAGAAAAACATAAAATGTAAAATTGTCAGGTTGTTAGACCCAAAAAACAAAATTGTGACTGACATAAGTTTCTTGGTATGTTCTGCTTATTCATTTCCACATGAGTACAATTAAGTTAATTTGAAATGATTCCACACAAAAAAAGCATTTTCTTAATTGAAAGAACGCAGTATCATTGGTTTCACTTCTTTGTCTCGCGTTTATATATATAAATGTCTCGATTGACTCATTTATAAATCCAGCTTTCTGAGTATTGGGCAGCCAGAAATCAGTTTCTGTAGTTCCTGATATATATTCATGGTAGAATCCACTTTGGTACATTCAGTCCAGCATAATGGGCAACTATGTGTGAGTGTGAAAACTTAATGGAATGATTCCAGCTTCTTCTTTTACTTGGTTTTCCATTCATATGAATGGTGAAGCATAGTGAACAAAATGAATATAAAAAAGAACAAAATGAACATGAAAAAGTAAACAGATGTAGAGAGTATGCAGAAAATTGAGAACAGATTTCATTTTAACTTTGGCCTCAACACAAGCCAATTGCTTTTTCATTGTCTCTCAGTACCAATTCAATAAAAAACATATTTCAAAGCTGCGTATAAAAGAGTCATCTCTTCACTATACATATAGAAAGAAGTTGCAGAGACACTGTTATTGCATACTGCTACTGCCAGTGAAGCATTCATTGGTTTTATTCTCATTTTCGTAATCCTGTGGCTGAATCCTAAACCTGCATAGGCCTACCGTGTCTTGGAACAAGGGTCATTGAGGACTCCATGTTCTTGGTATTTTAATCTTTCATTAATGTGAATTGTCTCGTGGTCTGAAGAAAAACATTCACATTGGGGGTATTTTATGAGCATCACAACAATCAACTAAGTGTTGTTCAAATACACCGTTTCCAAGTAACTTTATTGTCCGCGGACTTTGCACATGATTCGCTGGTTTGAAGATCAAAGTTATTTAAGTGGAAAACACTGAATGAATTGCTGTTGTATGACAAATTTACAGCAATCATCTTGATGACGTTGACATGCGACTCTTACGTTTTACTGTGAACGTCAGCAGCTTCTGTCCCCCTTGAGAGCGTAGAGACACCTGCTCGTGTTTGCAATGGGACGTGCTTCTCCTCACCTGTCTGAGGTGACTGGCAGCTACTCTGTCAGCCAAAGACAATGCAGAAGCAGTTTTTGGATAAGTCGTCTGGCCTCAGCGGCAGCAGGTGTGTTGACCGGGAACGGGTGGTGTTGACAGTCTGCGGCGACAAAAGGAGACCTGCCATGGAACAATCACGCTATCTGATGGAACCCGCGGCAGCTGCTACAACAGTATGTTTTGTGAGGTGAAAAATAAGATCGCCGACCCTTTCGCGGAGTCGGCGATGGAGAGTGTAATGCGGAATGAACAGCCGGGTGACCTATCTGATCTTTTAACTCAGTGTCTGACCACACGCGATGTTCTTATTATAAAAGCATTTTTATGTTTATGAAACTGCAAACCTGATTAAGAGAAAACGCAGGGTTCTCAGCATTTCTCTCATGACTTTTCTGTGTTTGAAAAACCTTCACACAACTCAAGTGCAAGGGTCTCCTCTCCTCGTTAGCATCTCTTATCGGCCCACCAGGCCATTAGTAATCAGTGACAATCGGTCCAGGCAGGAAGAGTGAGGGATGAAGGGAAGAGGCGATGCATAAACCTCCTGTGGAATGTGCGTATTTTCTCCAGTAAAGGGTGGTGTGCGTCTTACAGACAGAAGAGGGGAGCATTTTACCCTAAACCTTTTTTTTTGTTGTTGTATCTTTTGTGGTCATCGTGCACTAAGCAAGAACAGTTCCTTGTGTTAGTAAACATAGACTGTTGCTTTGAGAGATAAGACATTTTTTTCAGGAATGAGGAAATGACCAGATGATGTCAAAGGCAGCGAAAAACAAATCGAAATTGTGTCTGCATCCGTCACTAGTTTTAACTATTTCAGTACTTAAAATAGGATATTCCAGGGTTGGTTCGTCCAACGTTTGTTTTGGTTTCCACTGTCTGATCAGATGGGATTACTGAGCAAACACAATGAGAAACGTCTGTCCGTCTCTTTGATAAAGAGATTCTCTCAGGAGTTTACTGAGATGACCCTGAGATCACCAACCCCGTGGGGGGAACTGTCAAATGCTGGTGAGGGTCTTCACCAGCATTCTCATGTATTAATACACATCTCTGCGTAAAGAAAGAATGTAACCAAGACGTAATTATTTTCACACATGAAAAGGAATCAGCTGGTTTCCCGCGTTTGACGGGAACAGATATTCCGACCACTTTTCATCCCACATTCCCGCCCGGCTCAACGGACCGCATTCCGCTGGTGGGCTGCAGTAGCAATGCCAAGGAGCAGTCAGTGGAGTCCTTAGGCCTGGCCTCCAGCTCTCTGGAGAACACTACAACAGCATAAAGGTATGGGCTACACCCGATGTGGTACACAGCTAGTTTGGAAAATCAACTCTCACGCAGGGTTCTTCCACCTGGCTGCTTAGCTAAGCTGTCGTCTGCTGTGACGGTGGTTCAGCTTGATAACAAGACGATGCTGCAAGCATCAATGTGTTGGGTTTTCATCGTATTCTAAATAAATTGCTCTGGTTTCGTTCTGGTTTTCCTTCCAAAAGCTGACAGGGAGGAAAAGTCCTCTGGCACAAAGTAAAAAAAGTTTTTTATACTGCGGTTAGCAAAAGTAATCACCCACAGAGAAGCAATCTCTTAGCCAAAATTAGAATGAATGTTGGCTTTAATTTCTGAGATGAAACGCCGTGTGATTTGAGATGGGACTGTACAGTGAGACATTTTATTTACCTGAAGTGACTTTACAGCTGCACTGCACGACTTAGAACCTGCTGTCGTTTTTATCGTTCAGCTTCACATTGGAAATG